TTTTACCCAAATTCATTTTTGGTTTTGAACGTGTCAGAATTGAATGAAAACAAATAAATGGAAAGTGGGTAGTCCACCTTCGGCGGACTAAATGTGTTTTATTTTGAAATAGTGTAAATAATAGTAATAATAATAATTATAATAGTTTTCTTTCGGTAAAACTAAGGTAACCCTTGAATAAACAAAATTAAATAAATAATTAGATATTCGTGCCAAATATATCTAAAAACCTATATTTTACCTCCTTAGGGGTTGAATTTTCAAAAATCATTTTTTAGCAGATGCTTACGTCATAAGAGCTATCTCTGTACCAAATTTTAGTCAGATCGGTTCAGAGGTTTGAGCTAGGCGATGGTGAATCAGTCAGTCAGGACATGTTATTTTATGTATATAGATTATAGATTATTATTATTTTAGAATTTATATTATAATTTTAAGTGTAGTTATGTGAAAAAAGTTAAAAAAGTTATAATGAGGGGTACAATCTAGCAAAATATTAAACTCAGGGGTTTGGAATCAAAAAATGGTTGGGAACTGCTACTAAAGTTGTATGCCTACCTTACATGATGTTTTATAATTGTATAAAAGTCATTGAAATGTTTAAAATGACTATTTCTAAATCCGAATGCAGTACGTAATCTTAGCGGCGAAAACATTTTTATATACGAATTTTCATGATGCCAAACGTATTAGTTGTAATTGTGTTGTTATTACGTACCAACAAAAACTACATTTGTATTTATACGTAAAGAATGAAAAATAAATGATATTAAATAAAGTAAATAAATATATAAATAAAAAATGTATACATAAAATAAAATAGAATGAATCAATGCGTCACCTGGAGTATTATGATAAGTCTATAATACGACCAGTTTTGAATTAAAAATTCATCATCGGGTATACTGATGACTAAAAATAAAAAATGTACTGCCCTAGGATTTTTTTTTTTAAAATGTGTATAGTTGGTTCGTTATAAGTTGTAATTATTAGTAAAAAAAAAAAAAGTGAGTGTAACGTAATATTATTAATTTTAACTAATTTATTTATTTTTAATCGTTAGCAATGGTTTTTCTTTGGTTACAGGTATAAATGAAATAACTTTATGTATCTAACCTTCCCAATTATCCACATACAACAATGGCCCTAGTATCAGCTTTTTTTCTTACATTTTAAAATACGCTTGGTTTGATATTAATTTCATTGCTGGTGGTGCGCCAAAGATGTCTATATATATTCACGTCTTAAGAAACGCTATATCTGAGTGCGATTTTGTTTACATCTTATTAAAACACCACTAAGCACATTTTTGTTCAGTGTGCATAACGTTATATCGTTAATTTTATTGTTATAAAGTGAAATGATCTCTTATATAGCTTTTTAACTGTGGGTGCTGCCATGACGTCACGCAGGCACCTGCAATTTTCAAATGGTTTTTGTGAGGTATCTGGGGGGTGTACAATGTAAACTGTACAAATAAAAATACTGTATGATTAAAAGTCTTTATAAACGATATAACAACCATTGGTATGGTTTTTGAATAGAAATTTCAATATGTGGGGACCAGCTTGATGGATCTGGTTTTTAGTAATATATTAAATATCTCAAAAAGCTACCTAAAATGTAAAATTTAAAAGCATTTTAAATTTATTTATTTATTTTAAAAGTATTTTTGTATTTATTTGGATCCAATCATACTTGATAAGGACAATTATCACATAATATGACGTCATTCTAATCGCCTCTATTGGTATTTTAAAATAAATAATTTCTTAAAATGCCCGCGCATTTGTTGATTCACGTGTATTCACGTTAGGTCTTTCGAAATTCACGTTTTTCTATATAATAATATTATATTGCTCACATACGAATATTTGTTTGTTTGATATATATTATAAAAAACGAAAGAAAAAACCACTTCAAAGATGGTTTGTGAAATCCCTTAGCGAAAGGGAAAACGTCCGTTTGTCTGTTTGCCGTCTCTAGACATTTATAAAACGTCAAAATTAATAATAGATCGTCGGGAAAAATAAGCCACGCGATCTCGATATCGTCTCGTTTTCCGCCGAACAGGTGATTACGGGAATACTTTTTCGTTGGAGAAAAAAAAAATCTCGATCAATCTCGACGGCGGCGGTGGTATGGCGTTTAAATTTCGACCAGCGCGGCGTGAGCGTAACCGATTCATTACTCATTTTAGGTTCATTAAACGTCGTAAAACTCGCGGTCGTCGTTGCGCATTTATTGTCGTCGCAGGGACACTTTTCCGGACTATATACGCACGACTAGCCGACAAGGTCCCGTGAAACATTTCTCGAGGCGACGGAAATACCTACTATTACACCTTGCCATGCACAATTACCTATCTTGACCAAACCTAACCCCTTTCTAACCCGATCTAACCGGTAACCACCCTGTGCACCGACCGCGTACGAATATGCTACGACATTATACTCGTATCGTATTATACAGGGCGGTATAGATTGATAGCGTTACAGTGACCCATGGTTCCGATTATGTCTAGTCGATTTGATTGCGTGCTTTTCTTCATTTCTTCAATCATTATTATGTACAATTTATAATAGTGTAAACAATTCTATACATTCAATGTAGAATCGTTTGTTTACACTATGTATTTTACAATTTTACCTTTATTGGTTTGTCGTTGTTATGTCCACCGACCTATGTAGTATGCTATATTTTCAGTTAAATTAATTTTTTCGTTGATAAAAAAAAAGAAAAGTTATCAGCTAACCTTATCAAAGGTGTCTTATCAAAAACTCTCTAAGTGGTTCGCAATGCATGTACTTATATGCATTAAAAACCAACTAAATATGCACTAAAAAATTTTAAATATGCATAAATATATGTACTAAAATGTTAAAATATACATGAATAATACAAATATTTTAACAAAATTAGAAAAGAAATTTATTTTTTAAATATTTAATTAAAACAATAAATTTAAAATTTAAAATTATGGAACCCTACTATAAATACTTTTCTTCATTTTTTCTTCACTTTTATCATTTTGTAGGTGGTTTTAATGTATAAGACTCTTGATAATAACGATTTATCTTTCGGAATTTTGATAAAAATAAAATAATAAAAACGCGAACTATAACAGAAAGTACACACGAATGCACGGTAAATATTTTAACGCCACTGAAATAATATTAATGGTTAATGATTGTAATCGATATTTTCTTATCTTGGTATACATATTTCACCAATTGATCTAAGGTTATATTTGGGAAAACCGTTTATACCTACAAGTATACCTATTCATTTCTTTTGATATTAATCGAAACTATAAAAATATAATATTTTTTTCTTGTGTATTTCAAACATGTCCAAAAAAAACAACAAAACAATCATCGAAATATGCACTAAAAGATGAAATATGCAATTCAAATTGTAAAATAAGCCCTTAAAATAGCAAAAAGTTGGTAAATGTCGAAATACGCAAAAATATGCACTAAAAAAGTTTAATTTTTTAAAGCGTTATGTCATGAAACATATTTTGTGCTCACTTAGCATGCCATATGATCAACCAAAATAAATATGCAAATGCATACAAATTCATGCTCTAGTAATGTCAAAAGTATTGAGAAATACTGATGTGTATATAGACAAATACGACGTTTTATCAACTTTTTGAAAATGTAAAACATAATATAATATTTAAAAATAATACTAATATAAAATAAAAATACTAATATTTGGGAAAAAATATAGGATTTTACGCGGTGAAAACACGTTTTTTGGCTCAATAATATGCCTTAGTGAAAAAACAGACTTACACACCTCATAGAATGGTACGATGACGACGATTATTTTATTAGTGAGTTATTTCTGTTACCATTGAGTATCTTACTTAGTCTTACCCTACTTAATGTTATTACTGTGATTTTGTCCATATAAATTGCCGTATTCTCCCCCTTCAAATGTGTATCGGGTAATAAATCAGTGGAAAAGTCGTATAAAAAAAAAAAATTTAATTATACATAATAGAAGAAAATTTGGAAAACCGTCACCCTTTCTCCGATACCCAATTAAAAGGAAGGAATACCATTCTTTTTATAATTATTTTTTCTGACGAATAAATTTAAACCGAAAGGCCCAGACAAAATTGTAGAAATTGCGTTTGACGGATTTTACTGTTGATAACGTTTTATCCTAGTTTCGTAACGCAAGTCGAAATAATTTTTTTAAATTTAAATTATCTTTATCTCTTACCTATATAATAGACACAATACTTTAAGTACATTTTTGAAAAATGATTCAAAACTATAATCAATTTTTTTTTAACGATTTCCGGTAGATAAAAATTAAATGTATATTCCTAAAATATTCTAGTAGAGAATCTAAAATAATCATAATATATTTAAAAAAATGAAATCCGTTAAACACAGTTCTTATAGTTTTGTCTGGTTTTGAGTGTAAATTGATTAAAACAAATTGAAGTAAGGTGTCTATAACAGTTATAACAGAATGCTATTTAGGCCTGAGGAATTTGTAGAGAAGGTTAGAGGCCTATCCGTGTCTAAATGTTTCTGTGGAATAAGGGTGACGTTTTGATTGTCGTATGTTCTGAAAAAAAAAAAAATCAAAATTTACTCGAAACTTTCCTTATATTATAGGATGACCGATGGTTCGTAATAATAAAAGAATCACCCTGTATGCGTGTAATGTGTGCGTCTTCTAGCGTTTTGTTCATTCGTCCGCGGGGGGCGGCCCCGTCGTTCGGGCGGGGGGGTCCGGCGGGAGGCCCTTCGTCCGAGAGCGCGAACACGTTGGGCTCGCCGTGTACCTACCGACTATTCTGACGGCGCGGCGGTTGTCGTTCACGGTCCGTCGACGCGAACGGTACACCGCGTCGAGACGGTCACCACCGCGTCGTCGACGCGATACCATCACCACCGCACGCGGTAATGTTGTTGTCGTATATTATCGTTTCGCGTAAAATATAATTAGTGTGGTTGTCGGTATTGTTTTTTTTTTTAAACATTTTTTTGTTTTTGTTATTCGTTTCTTATTGGTGTCTACCGCTAAAAGAACGCACCGGGAGAAAAAACCGGATAACTCACCGGGCGCCACTTCGAGGTAGGTGTACGAGCGCGGCTAAAAATGATTTATCACTAAACGTTCCTCATTATTGGGTACAATAGTAATAGGCACAACAAGAGAGTATGTTCCTCTCACGGAAAAAAAAACGGATTGTTCGCAATAGTTGCAATAATAATATTATACGAGAAATACAATTTTTTTTTTTTTTTTTTTTTTGACGTAATTTAGGCAAAAAATGCCTAAATATTATTATATCAAAAGGAAAAATAAAATAAATTCGTAGAATTGATTTCTAGATATTATTTCTAATATTCACTGAGAACACTGCGGAAGAATTTTTACGGACGCGGATGGTTTTTTCCGATGCTTCGCGAACGTTATCGTTGTTAAATTCGTGTCCAGAATTATAAATATGGCAAACACATCACATGTGTATGTGTGTGTAAGATTTTCAAAAAAATAATTTTCTACTTAAACGTTACGCGAAAAATCCCGATAGTTAATGACGTGTGTGCCTACATATAATATGTTTACCAGTCAACATTTTTACTATACTTTATTTAAACTAATATCGTCCAAAAAGTCATCTGTATAGTTTTATGATCACCCACGTTTTATTCGTTAGGTATACCTAGCTAGTGAAGTTCGGTAGGTACGTAGGTTAGGTACCTATACTTTCATTATAACATATGACGTTTTTATTAATAGTATAAAAAAATATGTTTCCGAGTAAAATATATAAATGGGGTTAGGGTTTTTTTTTGCTTTCCTCTAATGAATTTATTTTACGCGTTCTTCTAAAACCCTTATACCTGCCCGTCTACCGTAAACCGGCTTTACAATATAAATGTTTAAACTACCACGGTGGTTTTTTGCCAGCAATAATAGTAAAATTTTAAAATTTCCGCTAAACAATATATTATTGAGTACGGGTTGAGGCGGACAAAACAAAAAACAAGCCTTTATGCTACTATGCAAGATTTTTTAGATATAATTACAGTCAGTAAAACTTTAACGATACGTACTAGCTGATAATTAGTATCGTTTTCACAATACACAAACCGTTTTAGTATCATTGAATAATTGAAATTGAAAACTATAGGTACGATATAACTATAGTGCCGGATCGAGAGGTAAAACAGAATCGAGTTAATTTGAAGTTACCTAACTCATTCGAGTGTTTCTTCCTTAAAACATTTGGACGGCGCATTTTTCTGCTGAATTTACAAATATTATATTTCACTATATGAAAAAAAAAAAAAAAAAAAAAAAAAAAAAAAAAAGAAATACCCAAATTGAATAATACAACACTTAGATTATATTATTAACGATCACTTTTATTATGAATAGTATACTATCATTTAACGATATTATTGATAATATATTTTATTTTTATTCCGATTGCATTATTTTATTGAATAGTTTTCCGTGTTTTGTGGTATGTCACAGTAGCTATTTTTGTGTGAGCTACAATATAGTTTTTGCACTACAAAAAATAACAATGTGCAACTGCTTCCTGAGTTTTTATTATAGGCGATTAACTGCCTCACAATTATTAGAAAATCAAATTCAAATACACATATACATATACAAGTGTGCACTGCGGAATTGCAGAAAAATATTCATTGGCATATTGTATATATTATGATAATCCGAATCTTCATAAGTCTGAAAATATAAAATGTACCGTGTCCTACGAAGTTTTGCTCGGTAAATAGCTATCGATGTACTTTGGGTACATAGATATCCAAAAATAATATAAATTCAAGATTTAAAAGATCTGTATGATAGATTTGAATTGCGTGTAATCTCGCGGAGTTCTGAAAATTCGTGAAATTCTGTCAGAATAATATTAGAGCTCAACGAATTTCAGTTTTGTAAAATTAGTACATATTATGGGTCAGATTGTTAGAGATATTTTGAAAACACCATCTTCACATAGGCGTAGTATATTTACTATTAATTTATAGCGATATAAAGATAACTGTTTTCCCTTCGGCTATTAAGTTATTAGTTATTACTATAACCTCTTTAGTCTTTATTTGTTTTATTTGTTGAAGTATTAATAAAAATTAAAATATTATATAATATTGCTCAGAGTATAAAAATATACAATTTAGATTTTATATTGTTTTATATTTCATGGGACTCATCAAAAAGACACCCCTCACAGCGTTTCTTTTATATTCTAAGCGTAGCAAAGAATGTATTCATTTTAAAATGATATATATAATTTTTTTATTCTGCGAATAACTTTTTTACCAGAAATTTTGGTTCGATGTATTAAGTGTAGTACTTTTTCTGAAAGGTAATTTTATTCTGAGTAATTCATTAAGCGTGCTCACCCCATTTTGTGGCTAAATTTTGCATGTATTCAAATTATGATTTTTGGAAGTTTTAAGTGTAGTTGAAGGCGATATTTTCGAATACTTCGATTTTTCACAACATTTAAGGAGTATTCTGTGGTGATACTAGCATTGGTTTTGTAAATGAGAACCTATAATAAACATTTCATAAATATATACAGTATTACTATAAACAAATTTTGGTGTTAAAATGTTTGATTTCCGTCAACCCACTGACGGGATATTTCACTTTTAAGTTTAGTTAAGGGGAGAGTAGGGAAGCATTAATAAAACGCCACGCGCCGTGCTACCACACAAATGGTACTCTACTACTCTCCTTCTATCTAAACTTAAAAGCGCAATATCTGGTTAACTGGTTGACAGAAATCACAAATGTTGACACCAACATTTATTTAAAGTAATACTTTATTTATAGAATTTCTATTATAGGTTCGTATTTGATCAATTTTTGATTTTCTAAGTCGTTTTCATAATAATTATGAAAATTCGGAAGAACATACATTTATTATTTTTAATTTTGTTTGTTTATTTTAACTCAATTAAAAATAATCGTAGAAACTAGACAATTTGAAAAACCTTTATATTTGTTTTTTATAGTTTTAAGCTATTAGACATTTCATAATTTAACGAAATGTGGTAAAGAATTTTTGGATGTAATACGTACGATTGTAAATTTAAATTATACAGGTAAAAGAGGAAAAAAAAAATATAATATGTTTTATTTTCGATTTTAATACTATTGAAAAAATATAAAATTAACAGAAACATCTGTATATAATGTATAAATATTATATCACTCAAAATTATATTATTATACGAAAATAAATGATTAAAATATATGAATTTTTTCCCTCTCAAATTGACACGAAATACGCATCATGTGCATTTCATTACACATTTTCTTTCGATTATTGAACTCGTCATTGTATGATAATAATACGTACAATTATTGTATATAGGACGGATTTCCAGCTTGGTCTGCTATATGTAAACGAGTGCACATAGAAAAAATGTAACTCCTACAACTTCCCGACCATACTCATCGCAGTCATAAACGGTATAATGTATAATACAAACAGTGTTGTTTTCTATATCTGAGATTTTAACTATATTATGTATACCGTGCGATAACCTTCTAATATAATAAAAGGACTCGAGTGTTTGATGAATGTTTTTTTTTTTTTTGTTTCTTTTGTTTTTTGGTTAGGTTAGCAAAACTATACATTGTTGAGTATGACGATTCGATTTTTTGTCATTGCGCGGTGCGTTTGTTGAAAAAAAAAATAAATGAAAGAGCTGATACTACTGATGGGCACGCCACTGTTGTAGGTGGGAAGTTGGGAAGGTAGGAAATATAAAGTTATTTTATATATATCCGTAAGACACTATAAATAATTGCTAACAAAATGTTATTCTGAGCGAAGCTTTAAAAACTTAAAAGGCCGTTATATCTACAATTTTCATCAAAATTTGATCTTCAAATAGCTATGAAAAAAACTACTACATATTATGCTTAACTATTTTTTCCTTACTAAGGTCAACTTATAAGTAACCTCGAGTTAAATTTTCAAGTATTTTTATATGGTCCACATAATGACTACCAAATATAAACTTGCAAACATAAATGCGTGTAAAAATTCGTCAAAATGTTTTGAAAATTTTACCACGTTTAGAAAAAGTTTTCTGTTAAAATTTCAAGTCTCTACAAAAATGTTTAATTGAGTTACAATAATCAATCAAAATTGAAAATAATAAAAGTATTATTTTCTTAAATGTTCCCGTTCTTTCTACGTTTTTTTCCGGTTTTTCCTAATTATTATGAAGACTATTGGTAAATCAAATAACGACTTTCTTACTCACCAATTAAATATTAAAAATCCAAAAAAATAAATAAACTTATATTGTTTTTCGATTGAAGCAATATGTCTAGTTGAAAACATAAAATTAAAAATAATAAAAACGGTAATGCACTGGCGTGCCGTAAATATTTGTCCGTTTTTTTTCCGATTTGTCCCAACTAATTTGAAAACACCTTCGATAATCAATAGAAAATGACCACTATATTGAACCAAAAAGATCAAAAATATAACCATTTTACGATTTATTTCGTATACAAAAACACGTATTTACATACTTATAAACGTGTGTTATACACATAGAACACAAATAATAATACACTGTTTGGAAAATTTAGATATTGCCATATAAATGAAAAAATCAAAAAATGATGGATACCGTTAACGGTTGTGCCACTGTCATGTGTGTTGGAAGTTAGTATAGTTATAGTTATTTAATTTATTTAATTTACATCCTAATTCCTTACGCCATTGCTAACGACAAACGATTTTGAGCGAAGTTAGATTAAAAATGGTTGTTTCGAAATTCTATAATCATTTTTACGATTCTCATTCAGATTAGAATTTAAAACGATCATAAAAAACAACTAAACCATGTTCAATTTTTTACCACTTGATCTTCACTACATTTTTTATGAACCTAATATTAAGTTTGCAAGTACTTCTGCTCGGTAAAAATAATATTATTCAGGCAAAACCAAATAGAAATTCAAAAAACACGAACATGTCGAATACATTACTAAAAATAGTTAAAAAATCGTCAGGATATTTTTATAATTTGACCACGTCTAGAAAAAGATCAATATAATTATGATTTTCTACAAATATAAGATCTCACGATTATTTTTAACCAAACTATAAAATAAATAATTGTTCCCAATTATTCAGAAAACTTCAAAGAAAATAAACAAGCAAACACAATATTAAACTTGAAGATCGAAGCAATACTTCTGGTAGAAAACTTGTTTATGAAGAGAAAAAACGTACGTTTTTAGATACGCTGGAAATTCAAAAAACAGGTAGTGATGGCTAATGTTAGTCTTATTAAAAATAATTGTTATATCTCAATCGATTGAAATTTGATTGACTTGTAATTTACCATTCAATGGATACAGCGGTTTTGAATCGATCAATTTTTTGGGTAATAATTTGTTTAGCCTGTAAGATATTTTTGATAGGATTAATCGATTATTGTTTCATTCACGCAACTTAAAAACTCAAGAGAGCAGAAATTTTCACATGACACATTGTGTGGTCAAAAGTTTATAAAGTAGTCCTCACACTTTCTTTTTGAATAAAAAAAAAAAAACACTGAATATTGCATTGAAATGTGCGAAGAATATAATTGAAAACTTTTAATCTAAGTATTTTACCAACAATGCGATTAAAAAAAATAAAAAAAAACCCGCGGCAATATTTTTTATAATTTTATTCATTGGACGAGTTGAAAAATGTCTTTAACATCTTTTGAACTATTGTGAATTTTTTTTCTTTCTATATTTTACGTTTTATAAGTTTACAAGCCTATATTATATTATTAAAGGTACTTTTACAGAACAATTGCACGTGGTTGTTTCCATGATATAAGTTCTACTACAATAACAAAAATACATAAATATTTTAATAGTTAATTTATATCAATGCCCTTATTATTTGGTTAAAGTCGTTTTTCCGCAGCAATATAGCTAATATAACTATGATAATAAATCTCTGACCAAGTCCACGTCAGTAGCACAGTGACACTTTCGGTAACAGTAGTGATTTACCTTACTCCGTGAGTAAAGCGAAGAAGCTATTAGTTTTACAATGATATGTTTTATCCCCTCTCCCCCTTCATTGAGCTTCATCCAGCACAATAAACTTTTTTGATAGATTTAACGCTCGACAGTTCGATCGAAGTACATCTAAATAATAAGTTTTTTTCATTTTACTGATGAAAAAAATAAGTTGTTGACATTTCAACAAATCTCGTAAAAATCGAAATAAAATTGCTAATACAATAATAATATCGTATAGTTGAAAATTTGAACTCAGCGAACTTTGACTTCTAATTCATTTGCAGCTTTATATTTTGTGGTTGCGTTCAGAATTTAAAATAAATATTACCTTTTTATTTGATACTGCACTAATGATATATATATATATATGCTAGGCGGTTGATAACGAATCGTTTTTCATACATTTTGAATAAAATATACATACTTCCAGCAGTCGAATTTCTGTTTTGCAAAACTATTTAATTTCGTATACCTATCTATTTTATTTATTTTTCAAAGGTTTCCTTTATTATTTTTTTTGGGGGGGGGGAGGCACTAAAGTATAGGCGCAAGTTATTTTAACAATAACGTATGCGTAGCGTGTACTTTAACTACTAAAAAAATAAAAATCGAATAAATGTTTCGTATAAAACACAAAGACAAGAAATCAAAGAATTCAAATATGTTTTAAAAATCAAGACTGGTTGAGTTATAGTGGGTAAATTTTACTCCTGCTTTTAATGGTTCAAAACGTCATATTCGTCCGTAAAAACGGCAGGACCACTTCCCATTGAATGGGTATCAGGCAGTAAACTAGTGAAAAAGTCGTATCATTTAGATGGCCATTAAAAGGTTAAAATCATTTTTAAAATTGGTGAAAATTTGGCAAACCGGCACGGGGCTCCTTAACGACAATCAAATAACGAACCTATCGTTTACCCGTTAACTTATTTTGTGTCTGTACAACATTGTTATCGATTTTTATGACGACGCGCGTCATTTGCTTTACCGTTTATAATTTTATTCATATTATAATACATTATACTAATATTTGATGTTTAATAACTAATTAACGCGACGACATAATATTATGTGAATTCCATTACCGACTGTGTATAAAATAATAATAGTTTACAAATCCTTGTAAATAAATATTTTATATAGAGTTTGGACGTTGTAGAGTTCGTAACAAAAATTAATAAAATAAAGTATTGTAGCATTATAAACTTTATAAAAAAAAAAAAATCACTAATGATTAATATTTCAAGTAAATAATTATTATTTAACATGCTACATTATATATATATATATATATATAATATTTCGTTTTTAGTTAACAATGATTTTTGTGTAGGTATCTTAATACTATAAGTCTACAAAAGTTAATATTTGATACGTTCTTGTACTGAGATGATGATGATATAAAAACGAATGTTTTATAACATTTCAAATATTTAAAATACGATAAATAATAAGAAAAATAAAACTACAAAAAAAAGCAATTTAAAAGTAAAAAAGAGCCGATACAGAGGATGGGTGTTGCCACTATATTAGGTGGATAGTTGAAAAGAAGGGATACATAAAGTTATTTAATGTACACCAGTAACCAGTGAAAAACCATTTCTAACGAAAAACGATTCGGAACGAAGTTTGGTTATACATGTTTTGATAGGCGTCAAAATTTAATATTAAAACTCTTATAAAAAAAAAAAAAATTGTACATAACACTCAAATTTTTAATTTTAATTTTTTTTTTTTAGCACAAAGTACAACTTAAATTGAATTTCTTGTCAAATTTTCAAGAATTTCTGTTTAGTCTAACAATTTTATCCATAGAATACTTACCAAATAAAATTACATAAAAAACTAGCAAGATGAAACTGTCTATAAATAGCTCAAACATTTTACCACGCATGGAAAAAGCAAATATTAGTTTTCTGTAAAAATTTGAAGTTTTTATGAATATTTTTAATTGAGTTATATTTTAAAAAAAATATTTAAACAATAAATTTTTTTTTCAAAAAAGATACTATAATTTAAAAATCTTAGCAAGATTTCCGGTTGAAAAGTAATTCACAGATTAAAGAATAAAAAAAAAATAATCAAAATTTAAACAGCGTTGTAAAACCAATATATTTCTGAGCGTAATTCGAAAATCGTAAAAATTACGGTATTTAAAAACATTTATAATCGAATTTCAATTTGATTTTTATTTCGTCAGCAATAATTTATCATTGCGGAAAGATAAAAATTATATACAAACATTATAAACTTACTAATTTTGTTCAAATTATATATGGTAGTAATATGACAGCTTCAAAGTTTGTTTTAAACTTTTAAGTTATAGTTTTACAATAATCAGTAACAAAATCGTGTTGCTCTAGTAATATTGAGCTTGCCAATTTTAGATTCTGAGTGAAGCGAAGTTTTAAAATGATGTTTATTTTTTAAATTTTTTTTTCTGTGGACAAATTTTCTACTAGAGGACTTGCTCCGATTTTTACGTGTAGCTTCTTTTTTGAAAGGAAATTGGTGTGAGGAAGTAATTTAAACATGTTATTTTTCGATTTTCTTAAGAGTTTTCTTATAAAATACAAAAAACCGAAGAAAACGGGAAAATGTACAAAATATATTTGTATAATATTACGATTTTTTTTTCTGCGGAAAACTTTTCTACCTGCAGTTCTTATTAAAATTTTAATGATAGCAATTTTTTTAAAAGGAAATTTCACGAGATTGTTTATCGATTTTCTCCAGAGTTTTTTTAGCTTATGTGAAAAACTTAGGAAAACCGGGAAAAACGTAGGGAAATCGGGAAAATCGGTACAACATTACACAAATATTATTAACAATAATATATAGGGCCTATTTTATTATTTTATCATAGTTGCTTACAGGTATACATTGAATTACCTATGACAGTGGTTGCACCCGTCCCCATTATCCTAGGACGTCTTTTTTTTATTAGTTCTTTTTAAAATTTTCGCTTTCTAGAATTTCTATATATCAGTGATGCTTACTTTTATTATTCAGCGAGCCACTTTGGTAAACAATTATCTTTGAGCGGGCCACCAAATATAAAAGTACGACTAATCTCAATTAGGTTATTGTATTTAATATATCACTACAATACAATTTATTTAAAAAATTTTGCTATACATAGTTGGTACACATCGGATTTGTTTCCTTACCATTTATTGTCTATTGGAAAGATAACCGATTGATACAGAGTACACAGTAGTTTGATCAATATGATTTTTTTAAGTGCACAGGTGATATCGATATTAAAATCATAAAATTTCCATTTGAAATTGTTCGGCAGAAAAAAGTGCAAATATTTTTTAATAATTTTACTTTTTTTTTGAAAATCTTGTTTTATTTTAAAAAATTTTAACGAGTCACATAGAATACCTTCGTGTGGCCACGTGTGGCCCACTACCGTGGCTTGGACTCTACTGTTATGCATTATAAGGTTTTGGTTTTTTTTTTTTATTCTTATCGACTTTATCGTTTTAGAAAGAATAATTTAAAATTACTTATGTATCGTTGTTTAATTATTCTTTCGATGTTTTTAACGAAAATTTCGCTATTTTTCAATTTTTAATTTACGATTAAATATACTTATTATTATTATTATTATTATTACTCGTTTAAGTACGGGCACTACTGTACGTCATCCATTTTTAAAAATTTTAGGGCTGGAAGAGCCTTATTTCGGCTGCGAGTACTGTTTATCTGTTTTATTAAAGACGCAGTGTAGTTACCTATATATCCCAAAAGAAAATTATATCTACACATCCGTCAACATCATAATATTATGTAATTTGTATGCGATATGATGATTCATGATCCATGGAAATTAAGTAATGAAAAATGAGTTTATAACGAATTAGATAAATATATAAAATGAAAAACTAATGGGTTTTTGTGTATTTAAATCTATTGCATTTATCATGTGACTACGTACAGTTATAATGTGAGTATACCAAATGTTTTTTTGAAAAATATACTTCAGTTATAATTTATATTCTGAGACAATGTATAATATTATAATATGGGTATACGCAGTATATTATTGTATACATATTTAATAGTAAGAAGGGATGACGTATAGACTGTAGAGCAGTTTCTTTTAGAATAAAAGTTTATTTTGGGCAGTCCGTATTAAATTATATATTTGTCATGTATGATTATGTAAATCACACAATGGGAAAAACTATCGGAACGTAAGTATGTATAAGTAAAATACTTTTTAGAATCGATTTATATTTATTTATTCGACTTTACTCCACGGATACTCGTTCTCCGAAAAGTAAAACAAAAATAATAATAATAAAAACAATAAAACTTAAATACATTTTTTTTTCTCTCGCCGTTTATGTTTCCTAACTGGTCTGAGCATCTGAATAAGAAGGAAATCGGTATTACTCACAAATTGTTGCATTTAAGACACATTTTGATGCATTCCGTTTTTCACAGATACTGTGCAACGAAACGTTGATTAGGTTTAAGGTTATTACGCGTGGAAAAATGTCGAGAAAAAAAAAATCCTATTTCGAACCGAATACGCCGGACTTCAGCGATGGTAAATCCTATTTTAGTGATTGTTTTCTACACAAACCATGCATAATAGAAGGAAAAATAAACATTTTATTAAAATTCAAAAAGTTATTCACGTGGCAGCTCGAATTTATAATATAGAATTTAAAGAATAAAATATTCTCGATGTTACACAAGCCTATATTATATTCGGGGAAAAAAAACGATTTTAAAAAACTGCACGATTTATTTTCTGTTTGTAATGATATAAAATATTTAGTATTACTCAATTAAAATTAATAAAATATATATAATTAATATCACTTGTCGCTATTTAAAAGGTCGTATCTTCAAGCTCGTGTCTTTTTTCAGTATCGCAAATGAAAAATTTCGTTTTTTACTCGTCCAGAGAGATTGGATTAGGACTTGGAAAAATTGAGCTACGACTTTTTTTTTGCTGTGTCAGGCAATATGACAAGAGATTAGAAGTTGGAAAATGTAGCTATGGCTATTATCGTTGCGGCATATTAAAATATGTAATATAAATTATTATTGAGAAAATCGATATTTTGTTCCCAAACTATAATATAACAACACTAAACATAAGTCGTATAAATCGTTATATAGGTCGAGATTATTGAACAGAATAATAATAATTTAATTATCTAAAATATTATTCAAATCAAAAGCCTTCAAGTTTTCTAAAAATAAAACAGAAACAATAAGAATAAATATAAATAAATAAAATAAGTATCTTTTAGATTCGGAGTGTAGCGAGAGATCTATCGATTTCATTATGTTTTTTACTTTATTTTTTGTCTGTAAATAACTTGTCGAAAAGAAATCATCCAATATGTATAAAATGTAGCACCTTTCCTGAAAGAAAATTTTCTCTAGTTCGATTTTTTTTTTTTTTTTTATTTTGTCTTACCAGCCATGAAGGTGTTTTAGCTTATAGACATGATTGTATGTTTAGTCTATTGAAAATGCTTTCGATGTCTTCATTTTTTGTACTCTAAATCATCATGGAGATAAAATTTCCTTTCAGAAAATAAGCTATACTTGATATATCGGAGCAAGATTTCTGGTGAAAAAGTTTGCACAACAAATCGAGGGACATTTTGAGATTAAAATAGTCCGAGGAAGCGATGGCTTGGGTTTCCAGGTACATCCGAAATTTATGTTTTACTTGTATAGGTAAAAGAGAGGAAAAATGCATAGAATTATTTTTTGTCAAACTGGTTTGAATTCGGAATCTCAAGGATCATAATCGGTAAAAATAATCATTAGATTATGACAAATTTACTACAAAGTAGACCATATAGAGTTATTTAACATAATATATAATACTCGCATAATATCAGAACTTTAAAAAGCTATAATTTCGAAACTTAGTCAGTCCGCTTAATTCTGATTTCACCATCATTCTTAAATAGGCAATATACATATGTTCAAAAAAAAAAAAAAAAAAATATCTAAAAATAAGATTCATTTCACATAATTTTTTCGTCAAAATTTGATATTAAAGTTACCTCATAAAAAAAAAAAAAAAAAACACTACATTAAACTCAATTTCTTTTTTTACCATAAAATACGATTTTAAATAAACTTCCTGTTAAATTTTGAAACATTTCTGTTAAGTCTAAACATTTTACCACAAAGTATAGGTATTTTTTTTTACTTAATTAGTATTATGTATAAAACTTTCAAATCTAAAATGTATAAACATCTCAAAAATGGCTTACAGTTTTTGAAAATTTTATCACATTTAGAAAAGATAAATATGTTTTTTCCAAATTTTAAATCCATCGAGTTGATACAAATATTTTTAACTAAATTTCAACAAAAATATCAAAATGGTTATAAAAAGCCTAAAGATGGCTTAAATGTTTTGCAAATTGTACCACGTCTAGAAAAGATAAATATGCGTTTTCTGTCCAAATTTCAAGTCTCTACAAATATTTTTAACTGAATTACAACAAATAACAAAACTGAAAAATATTAATAGCATTATTTTCGTAAATTTCCCGTTTATCTTACGTTTTATCCCTGGTTTTTCCCATGTATTATGCAATGAGTTTGGATAATCGAAAAATGACCACCAAAAGGACCATCTGCATAACAGAATATATAGAAATAGTGCCGCACGTATATATCTGAGCAAGAATAATGGTAGAACTTTCGTACATAATATATATATAAAAAAAAAAAAAAAAATAAACATCTTAGTAAAACCAATACATTCTTCGTTACACTCAGAATCTATAAATAAATGGAATAACTTTGACAAGTTGGCTGAGAGAAAATTTGACTTTAGTGTAGAAGCTTTTGCTACACATTGATGTTTTTTATTTTAAATGTATCATTTTAATATATCTATTTAAGAAAAGATAATGCAATTTTTATTTTTAAATTATAACTGATATTTACATCGATGACACTAAAAATTCTTAATTATAATAATAATAATAATAATAATAAAAATATTGATGGTTAAATTCACGTTCATAGATTTTGGATTTTCAAGTGTAATGAGCAAGTGAAAATCCAAAATTACATTTTCTATAGCAAGTGTAATATTTATTCCCAAATTTAATTTTAGTGAACAATAATATTATAATATCATTAATTATATTAATACATAAATAGCTCAATCAATTAAAATATGTGAAACGCAAGTTTTAGTTAAAAATATTTTCCATAGATGGCGATAAGATTATGACAACGGGAATAAATCGGTTGAACGACATCATTGTTATTGTTATGGTAATGATTTTAAAGTGAATATTTAAATGTTTGGTATATTCAAGTTATGTGATTACTATGTACTTTGTACGATATTCGAAGGGGAGATTCGAGGGTTTTTGCTTAATTGACGTTGCAACTTGCGATTTTAATTGTTAACATTAAAAATGCATTTTTATATGAGATTATTCACACACGCGAATGATACTTCGCTAAAATTAAAAATGTTTGTTCTCAATGTACCTATTTTGAATGCATTTCTCTTATAACTCGATTCATATGCCTCTGAAAACCTCGCTGAAACTGAACATTTCCCGGTTTTTAAATTTATCGGATTATTTTTTTTTTTTTCAAGCGTTTTTTGTATAATACGAAAATGACATATGTGTCGTCTAACTCTTCGAGTTTTTACTTAACAAAAATACTAAACCGACTGAAAATGTCAATACTACACAACAATCATATCCATGACGATTGACGGTTACAACTGTAGTACTAATTTTATTTTTCATAGTATTATAATTTATAAGTATAACATAGCACAACACATTGTATGTTTCATATAAAATTTGGCGTGTTTTTTATGTTTGGGAAACGTGAAAATGGGCTGTTATCGTGATTGTAATCTAGCTTCATAATTGTCTGTGCATATTCGAAACTATGACCTCCAAATGATTTGTTTATAAAAAATTACTTCAGCATCATAAACTATGGCTTCTCTGTTATTTATAATTTAGTTTATAATAATGATGATATTTTTGTGTATTAGTTATAAATTTATAATAAAATATAAATTTCATTTAATTACCTGATATAGCTCTGTGGATCCTTCACTATTATTATTTACAAACGTTATTACGATATTATTCGTACTGTATATAGGTTGTCTATATATGCCCATTGCTATATTTATGAAAGTATTAATTAATCTTGTTTTGAATTTAAATTTTTTTCACAATTAAGAAACAATCAGCTTTAAAAATATCACAAAACCATTATTTTTTGACAACTTTATTTTCGGAGATGAAAAGACTACCTACTTTTGATTGTCAAATGGCAATCTATAAATTACAAAATCCATAAGTATATAGTTATAAGGAGTATTAGTTTAAATACATTTTGGTGTTGACATTTTTAATTTCCGCTAACCTGTCGGTGAGATATTCCATTTTTAAGTTTAGGCAGTGGAGCATCATTTATGTGGTGAAACATAACGTGGCATTTGAATAGTGTTCCACTAAAACTATCCATTACCCAAATTTAAAAAGTAAATTTATCTCATCAACGGGTTGACGGAAATTAAAAACGTAAATACTAAAATAGATATAAACTTATTATAAAGGTGATTTGATATTTTAGAGCTGCTTTTTTTTTAAATTATCAAAAAATAAATAAATAAATAAAAAGATGAAAATAATTCGTACGATAGTGGACCACTGATGTAGATGAAAAGTTATGAAGGTAGAATAATGAGAGAAATACAATTTATATTTGTACACAACGATAGACTATTGCTAATAAAAAACGATTTAGAGCAAAGTTTCTTTTATACATGAACGTAAATTTTCTCGTTTTTCCTACATTTTTCCCGGTTCCCAATTATTACGAAAATCGGTTGGAAAATTAAAAAAGAATCACTCAGTTAAAATTTACTTTTATAAAAGGTAATAAAAAACTTGAAAACTGGAGCAAGATTTCTGATGGAAGAGTTGTTTACAGATTAAAAAAATAAATAAAGTAATCATCATAATAAAACAAATACCCAACCTAGCTAAACTTAAACCTCGTTACGCTCCGAATTTAAAATCCGAAATAAGTTAATATTTTCTGAGATATCTCAGCTGATATAACTTTATGGGACACTCAATATATGCGTTTGAATCTTAATTTTAGATTTTGTGAGCATATGGATAATAGTTTTACGTATGGTTTTTTTTTTCACACAGAGAACACTTTAACGCAATATAAAAGTTCCGTAAGACTGCATCAACCTGCTTGTTAGATGCATGATGAAATATCACGCAGGTAGCACGGATGACGGTACTATTAATGAAAAGAGACAATATTCCGAAATTATCAGTCTGATACTATCAACTCGATATTGATGAAAATGGAAAAAATAAAGAAAAGAAATTTAAAAGAACATCGGTATTTGAATTCTAACCACTACTGAGCTTTCATATACAAGTAAGTGAGAATTTTTCTTTTCAAAAAATCATCCCTAAGTATATCCCTATATTATTTACGTTTTTGTTGTATTAATTTTACCCCTTCGTTTAACGAATCAATGTATATTGTATAAAATCAAAGTTTGACTATTATAGTATACTCTCCTTCAAAATGCAGTGTAAAATCGAAATTTAAAAGTGGTCGTTTTATTGGAGTCGAAGTGCAATAGTGTAGTTTTTAAACGCCTTGCACATTCTCAAACAGCCATAAACAGTATACGACTAAATCTGACAATACTAAAATCAAATCCTGCAATCATAGATTATATGGTAAAAAAACGAAAGGTATATTCTGTCATGCACGTTTCAACGAATCACCGACGATTTTGTGATTCAGTTCCTCACGAAATACAAAATATAACCGAAACACAATGGGGTTGTTACCTACTTGTCGTGAGTTTCCATTAATATTATTTTACTCAAAAGGTTGCGAGCGTACATTTTTTCACGATTGTGTATAATAATAATAATAATGATAATAATAATAATAATAATAATAATAATAATAATAATAATAATAATAATAATATAATAACGCGTCGTTGCTAAAGTATAATAGGCATCTATAGATTACTATTATACATAAGAACAATTTCATACGGTGAACTTTATACACAATTTTTGACCATTTTCAAACAATGTTTATTAAAAAAAAAAAAACTAATATACTTCAACCATATTTTCGAATACTAGTTATAATATTAACTCGAAAAAGAGCCAACGTATCAATACAGCACTCAAGATACATTTTAAGATACATTTAAGAAAAAAGATAATTTTTTTCATAAATATTTAATTCATTAAACATATAGAATTGCAAAATTATTAGAAAATAAGTAATGGGTACATAATATATAATACAATAATTTTTATTTACATTTTTATACCAGTTTTCAAATATGATTTTATTCTTATGAAGTTATAAGTTATAAGTTATCATTATCAATTATAATACATAATATATAAAAATATAAAATAAATAATGGGTATTATCCACTTGTCAATATACAATAGTTATACACTCATACATAATAATTTATAATAATAAAGAAATTATAAAATAACATATATCACAATAAATTGCTGATATTTTTATTAAAATAAAATAAGATTTTAGAACTTTAGGTTTTTCTTTTGTAGTTTGTTGAACCAAAAAATAATAATTGTGTCTTAAAAAATATCTTAGGTACCTTCGTTGAGCTATACAAAGTTTTATATATAAAATACAGATAGATGCATATTTTTAGAAAATACCTAGATACAGATACAAGATATAAACAAGTTTCTAGATACTGTATCGTAAATACTGTATCTAGATATATTACAGCACTGGACCCAAGACCCTTTAGATCAACTCGGATTTCGTACATATTGAGATAAGAGCTGCAAGCTGATACTCGGATATTTGTCCCACCTGCTGAACACTTACCATGTAGCGGAAACTTACCATGGGGCATAAGATACATCGATATGGAAGATAATACCAAGTACCTAGGAATTATTTTTGATCATTATTTAAGATGGGATATTCAGATTGAATACAGTTAGATATTTTTTTTTAGAAATTCTTCATAATAATTAATTATGATTGGTATATATATTCGTAGCTTTAGTTCAATCTATATCTAGTTATGTTCTTGTAGTATAGGGTAAATCTGTAGACATATACATATATAAACTTAATGCTACAATAAATTCATTATTAAGATTTATGTTGAGAAAACCCTTATAGTTACCAAAATAATAAAATAAAAACAAAATTATTAAAACGGTTAATATTTGTAAATAAATACATAAATAAAAAATGTATATATAGAAATAAAAAATTAACTTATTAATGAATTCGACGCCTGAAGTATTATGATAGGTGTTTAATTAAGATGCATTCAGGAGTCCATGACACCTCCAGAACGAGGCGCAGGCACATAGCCAAAAAATTCCACTTAGGGGGCCAATAATATCTTATTTTAAAATTTCTATTTGTCTTATCTATATAAAATGTATAACAGTTACATTGAAGTTTATATATACTAGCATTATCAAAAAAAGGGAGATTTTTTATGAAGATTTTAGTTTTATTGTTTATATGTTTGATTAAATTATTATTAGTCTTAAAAAGGATTCTTACATTATTTGTATTATTGATCAGAATTTTAGCGAATTCGTTAAGACATATTATTTTGATATTTCCTATTACAATAGTCAACATTATTTGGTGAGTTGTGTATTATTTTTTCTTTAATACTTTTATGCATTTTTTTAATAATATTTAAATTGAAATTATTTGTATGGGCATATTGTAGATAATATTGAGCTCGTGTTGATAATTATGTTCATTCAATGGAATACGTTCAAGCCTATAGAATATTGAATTAAAAATGATAACCTAACCAAACACGAGTTCGCTTTTTGGGACAGCTTACATCAAAATATTTATGAATTGATAATGCATTTTTAATTTTCAATTTATATATTTCATACATATTAATATTGTGATTGATGATATATCAATAAAATAAATAATAAGTAAGCTAAGAACAGGAATAACCATAACAAAAATAATCGTGGTGAAATGGAGATATCAAGACGGATCGGATACATGTTAGTGCGGTGATAGCCAATCAAAGACTATAACAGAAAGTACATTTGACGACTTGGCATTAGCCAATGAAAATGGCTATTATCAATAGCTATTGACGCTTATAAGATATATAAAATACTTTAATGTAGGTAAAAAGTATCATATACGTCTAACACCGGACACGATAATAATAAAAAGAACTTGATTTTATGTATCTACATAAGATAAAAGATAAGTAAATAGTTATCTAGATAAATCCAATCACTGATTAACTACAACTTTCTCAACCCATCAAAAATTAAACAAGAAAGTTGATTTTCAGTCGGAGCAAGTGTTCCGGGCTGGAACGATCATTCGGTTAAAATTTAAAATAAAATCAAGATATTTTAGGTACATATGAACGGACATTTTCCAGAAAAAAAACACACACATCATTATAACAATTTATAGCCATGAATGAGTTTCATTCTTGCAGGACGTCTATTTAATCGATTAATAATAATAATAATAATAATAGTAGAATATTATATTGTAATATACTGTATGCACAATATAAAGAGAAACACCCACTACCGTCACCGCGGGAGGATCTGTGTCAAAAACACAATTAATTGTTTCGATAAATTTGATCCTGCTATAATAATATACTCGTTCGCTGATTACGACGTGCGTATATAGAACAATGTCGCCTTTGAAATGATCTCTAGTGTAGATGTGCCGCGGTCGAACTTCTACTAAAAGATAATGGTTTATGTGTAGTGGTAGTAGTTCTGCTTTTGAAATACATAATTAATTTGTGTGACTATCGCCTGATGCATATTATTATGATACGAATACGCGTATAGTTTCGGATGTTTTTAAGGATGTTGCTGTAATAATTATTCAACACAAAGTATGGGTATTTAAACGAACATGATATTAATATTATTAAAAATATTGTCATTCGGTTTTGTTAGGGCCGGATTAAACCCGAAATAGCCTTAGGCACTTATTTTTATCAATCCACTGTAAGGACATTTAAATGATATATTATAATAACCAACACCTGAACCTGATATAGTTTTAGGTAACAGAACGCCCGGGGTGAAAACCGTGTTGTTCATCGATAAGGATACTATTATTAGGTCTGTGAATAGACTTCAAAAAAAATGATTCAAGAAGTTTGCCTAGGTGGACTGATAATACTGATTAGCCTGTATAGACATTATGGCCCGTAACATTCGTAATGTTACACGACTTTCAAGTCGTGTAGAAGATCGTAGTTACCGAGGTAATTTTCTAATTATCAGGAAAGTCACAAAAGTGACTTAAGATTAAAAATAAAATAACCTTAAAGGCCATCTAGTCCGACCGATTTAGTAAGACGTAGCTTGGCTAGACTAGATTTAAAATCACTTCGACTAATATTTCAAGAAGAAGGAAGCTCGTTTGGAAAATCACCAGAACTACTGAAATCAATATTGATGTCTTCGGGCGAAAAAACGGAGCTAAAATGTTTTGAGAATAGCTCGCACGTATAAGTTTTATCAATACTGGAGATACCATACAGTTTAACAACAGATAAAATGTTGGTAACTTTTTTATTTTTCCAAACAAAATCCCAAAAAGATTTGGGATTGGTACAAAAGGACGTTTCAACTCATTTAATGTATAGCTTTCATAACATTTCTTTGATAAGAACTTATACCGTGCGCGACGCAAAGAAAAAACGGAGTAGTCAAGTGGGCACAATGAAGCCTTATAGGTGGAATGTGCTTTTCTTTTTTTGAATGGTTATACATTTAAGGTCACTAGAAAACCATGGATAAATTTATATTGTTCAAAAAGCAACACTATTAACAGAACTCCGTTTAGAATCGGTTTTCATTAGCAATGGTTAATCGTTGTGTACAGATACACTTGCCTACATTAGTACGTATTCTAATAAGCCGATATTTAAAGAAATTATACTATAATATTATATATTTAAATTTAATCGAATTTTAAAATAACACGTTTAATTATCCATCTATCCAATCATTTTAATATGAGAAACGGGGATTTAATTTTGTAGAATATTATACTGGTTATTATGATATTACTCGTATAATTAATTAGGTAATACTGCTACCTATAAACTTGGTTAATCATTGTTTAACGTACTTAGTCAGCGATTACGCACGATTATTATTTCACAGTAAGGTACCGTTAATTTAATGAATACGTTTTAAATAATATCAAGGACCTAATCGAATAAAAATAGATACCTGATCTAAGAAAATATTATTATCACTAAATACTTTTTAGAATTGTTTACAAAATATTGTAGGCAGATAGCTATTTTTAGACCATTAAATACATTTTATATTGTACCTTGTATTAAATTTTCAAGCATTTCTCTTAAGTCATATAATGTTATTATCAGATACCTACCAAATAAAATAAAATTAGAAATACTCGAACAAAGTAAACGGGGTTCATCGTAAGTTGTACGTAGTGGTAAAAAAGTCATTTTGCGTCATTTATATTTGATATTTATTTATTTATTTATATTTATATTTGAATATAATTTTTAGTTGACACAAGATTGATCATAAGTGTTGTATTTGATGTAAAAAAAAAGTTCAATACAATATAGTCATTTTTTTTTATGAGCATTTTAAGTTGAAAATGTTTAATTATTTAAAATCACGGTATTTTAAAACACATTTAACCGAACCTCATTCAGAATTGTATTTCATTAGATATTATTTATTGTTGCGTATAGATTTAAATAAAATAATTTGATGTATTCAACTGGCTACTTTCCTAACATCCCACCTACAAAAGTGACACGCCCTTCAGCAATATCAATTATTATTTTTTCTTCAGAATCGTATAAGCTTTATTTTAACACTATTTCCAATTTCTTTTCCTATTGTATTTTCATATTGTTTATGAATTAAAAAAGTTTAAAGTTTAGATCGGAGGAATAGGTAAGGCTATTCTTCCGGTTCAACAATAAATCTTATAAACGCTACATCCGATTTATTATAGTTTTATGCATAATGTAAAAATATTTTAAATTTGTATCAGGGGGGGGGGAGAAGAGTTGGCATTCACCAAACAAATTCAAAGTTTTTACTCATTTAAGGTATGTTTTGTAAGTGTAGAATATTTGAAAACAAATGGACTGATGAATAATGGTTGAAAAAACAAAAAGCAAATTTTCGAAACAAATCGTTAAATTATGAAAAAAAATCACTCTGTATACTATTTACCTATGTACCATGTACCTGTTTCAGAATAACAACGCGTTTTATTTGTTTTTAAATTATTTATACAATTATATGTACTCTTGGACCGCTCGGAATACAAAATTCTATCTCATTTTTCAAACATTCGTGGGGAACAACTTTAAAATTGAAATTTAATAAAAGGTATGCATTTTTTTTCTTTTTACCGTAAAAAAGTATATAAATGTAGTCGTAGTTAATATATTATTTACTCAATTCGTTAAATGTTTACGAAAAATCAAACTATAACAATATCAAATAATAACGAATGAAATACAATAAATAGATTTTTTAGATAGTACGTTTAAAAAAAAATCTGACTGAAATGACAGGAAATTTTCCGAATAAAATTTGTCAAGCATTTAAAAAAAAAAAACATGAATTCACGCGTTTTTTTTTTTTTTTAAAATAATGAGCCATACCTATTCAAAACGATTCGGCCGTTTATACAACAGTATAAAGGCTAGAAAATAATATTATAATATTGTATAATGAAATTAAATGTTCTCGAGACTATGTAGATAATGTAACGGAAAAACTAAATACAATTAATAGATATATTTTACCGGGAAATACGATATTTCTTTGTTGTAATATTATACACGTATATATAAATATAAGTGGATAACTTTCTAAAAAATTGTACGTGTCTGAGGCAATTATTTCTCATCGAATTAAAATTTAAACAAAAGTTTTGGAGGTAACAGTTTGTAACGTTTTATAGGTGGATCGATATAATAAAACTTGGGTTGAATTTCAATACGAATTTGTTGCAGGTGGAGAGTGTTTTTTAAGTTTCATACTTCCCTACAGACTTCTTAAATGAAACCAGGGGATTCAATTTTGTATACGAATGCTATTAGTATCATGGATGTTTAACTTCCAATCCCCTTCCCTCTTATCATTTTTATGATCAAATTTCAGTAATTTCAGTAACTATTTTTTTAAAAGTGGTTCAATATTGTAGTGTATACAGTATATAATATTGTATTATTATGGTATTTATTGTTTTGCAAAGAATATTTCTAAAATTAAAACATGCTTTTTTTTTAAAAAAATCGTACTTAAAAGTAAAAAATGTTTCAAAAACAAAATTTATGATAAACCAAAAGAAAAGCTTGATGTATACATTCATAAACAATCACACCTAACTAATATACCTAACACATAAAATGTTCTACACGTATAGCCACGTTTTGAAACCCGCTATGGTATCTTCGATTCTGAAACGGAACATTTGATTATGAGTTATTATACTGTAATTATAAATTTGAATTTATGCAAAATTTAAAACTAATTGGACCACGGAAAGTGGGTTGTAAGATTCCGTAACTCGAATCGAGGAAAGTTAAAGAAAAGTATCTAAAACATAAATCTCTCTGCTCTTCTGCTCAAGGATTTTTTTTCTCTGTGTGAAATGGTTTTTTTTTCACTTTAGCCTTTACAGCCCATTATATTAAATTATATTAATAAGTGGTGAGAACGTCGTCGTGATAAAAACCACGTTCGTCAAATTGACGGTGGCGGCTATGTAAAAATTCAGAAGTACCGTCGTCATAAAGTACTCAGTTACATATTTTTAAAAATTTGTTTACATTTTTCGACATTGGAACATGGTCGGGGATTTAAATACGGTCATTATTGTTCAAACATAATAATTATTATTTCAAATAAATATTAGATTGTTTCGGTGCGATTTTTTTTGTTTTAAATAAAGTTCCTTTTAGTTTTTTTTTTTTTAATAAACGTTTTCCCTCGCATGTTTAAAGACTTTTTAGTTGTTAGTAATTAACACGGGGATATTAAAAAGTGCTTTCATTTTTTTTCCATTTAAATTAAAATTATGTTGCCCCTTTTTTTTTTAATAAGAAATTACAATTATTATCAAAATTGTTATTTTTTTTGAATTTCACTAAACTTTTATTTATTATCTACTTTCTAATATTGGTCTTCTGAAACTTTAATTTTCTTTAATTGGAAATATATTCGTCTCAACAAATTATTATGTTTAATTATGTTTATAATTCTGAATTTCATTTTTCTTCAGTTACGACAAAGTAATATTTTGCCACACAAACATTGTATAAACATTAATTTATACCCACCTATTTTCTACACGATATTAAACCTAAGTCATGAAGGGGGCATAGCCCCCACACCAACTATCAATTTCTTAAACTATAAAATACTTGTTTACAAATTATATTATTTACTGAATAATACTTAAATGTTTGCTTCATTTAATATTTTAATGCGTAAATAGGTACTTTAATTTTTATCGAGTTTCAAAATCATTTATATGAATATTAAAAACATTTGACATAGACAGGAATATATTGCTTTTTCAATGTTTATTTTAAATTCTGACCACAGCGAAGGATCTATTGGTTTCGCTATGATGTGTGGTTTTGTATTATTATAATTTTTTTTTTTGTTGTGTCTTTGAACAACTTTTTTACTATAAATCTTGCTCCGATTTATAGAGTGTAACACTTTTTCTAAAATGTTATTTTGTCTAGTTATATGGCGACTTTGATTTTCTTGGGGGGTTTTAAAAATAATTGGGAAAATTATAGGTAAAACGACAAATAGTTCCACGGCCGCGGCGTTACCGATTTCATTATTTTATATTTGTATACCTACACAATATTTTTTACCAGAAATATTCCTCCAATCAAAATATGACAAGAAGTCGATTTTTTTTTTTACATATAACTGTTATCATAGAAAATCGTTTTAAGATATCTAAAGTATTTTTCATAATAGTTTAGAAAAATCAAAAAAAACGAAAAATACGATTTTTTTCAAATAACTGTGCAACGATTTCATTGTTTAAAATTTTTACGGCTATGTTTTCTACCATAAACATTCCTCCAATAAAAAAACGACAAAAGACTTTTTATTCAATTCTTAATTAGATTGATTGGTGAATAAGATAGCTGTTTTTGGATTTTCGTGTAGTTCTTTTAATAATTGAGTAAAACTGAAAAACAAAAAACGGGAAAATTTACGAAAATATTGCATTTATTATTTTCAATTTAGTTTTTTTGTAATTCAGTTGAACATATTCGTAGAGACTTGAAATTTATATAGATAAATCTACTTTTTCTAGAAACAGAAAAATTTTCAAAACATTTGAGCCATTTTTGAGCTATTTATAAACATTATAATTTTGGGAGTTTTTTTACGTAATTTTCATTTGCTATCCTTTTGATAAAATTGTTAGATCAAATAGAATTGATTGAAAATTTAACAGAAAGTCAACTTTAAGCCATAATTAATGGTTAAAAAAAATTAAATGTAATTTAGTTTTTTTTTTTTTTATAAGAGTTAAAATCATATTTGACGAAAATTGTAAATATTTCGGCCTTTCAAATCATGTATAATCACATTTCTCGTTATTAATGGTTTATCGTTGGCTATATGTATAAATTAAATATATTTATATATTCTACTTTCCCAACTACCCACCTACAACAGTGGTCACACCCATCCTTAATATCAGCTCTTTTATTCATATTTATTTATTATGTGTTTTTGGTTGTAGCCACTGCTGTAGATTCATACATTTATTAGGTTCTTTATATTATTTATCGTAGAAATGTAATCAATTGAATAGTTATGTATATAGTTATAGTTAAATAGTAACTATAATTAGTTCTCTGCTTTCACTAATGCAATCACACATTACACGCTTCTGCAGTTTAGGAATAGACTAGTTCGCGTTATTTAGAATATTATGTTTACTACTCTTCTTATTTATTGTAAAATGTACAATGTTTTATACTAATCTACTAATTCTATATAATATACCCACCCCTTAAATAAGACGTGGCGGCCGCCATAACTAATGTATAGGATCGGCACCACTGTTTTACTTACTTCCATAGAAGATAAATTTATTACTGCAGCAAAGTTCTCTAAATTGGTTTTTTTTTATAGCCACCCGAAATATCTGCTGGTATAATTATACCCAAAGTATCATTTAACCTAACCTAACCTAATCTATTAATTTTTCATCGAAACGTTTTAGATTTGTCTATGGTTAAATCATTAATACGTCGTCTTTAAAGATATTTTTCTCACTAGTTGTCATTGAGTTTCCTCGATTTCCACGGACGAACCACGTATTAAAATCATATAAGGTATTTCCGTAACTCTATATATTCCAGTTCCTGACTTAACTTATATTTCTTTTCTTAATTTTAAAATAAGTATGGTTGTGAAGTTCGTTTTTTTCATGATATTTTTATATTTTATTGGGTGAGTTTTTATGTTGCATTTTTTTCTTTTAATATTTCCAGTATTCTAGTATTCTTAAATTTAATGTGATTTTTCGGTACTAGTCTTTCCGATGATGCGAACACAATAAGTAATTACATATTATCTAATAAATTGAATGTACACCTTTTTTTAAATTTATAGTAGGCAATAATATCCTAAGTAAATATTTTTAACATTATCAGCGTCATATTTAGCTTTTTGATGTCTCTAGACTTCCAGTTATTTTTATCTCTTTCTAAGAACAGTCGTGTCCCGTCTAATACAGTAATCTAGATTACAATAACTTTTATATTAACTATTTGTTATTATTTTCACCGCTAACAAAATCAACTTTAAAACAAATTACATAAAATACAATTTTCATGTGCATTAAAATTTCGCTTTGGCTTTGGCTTAATTAGGCCTGCTGTTAAATTCGTCACTGCAGAAATAGTTATAAGTAAGAAGTTGAAAAGGTAGGATACATAAATTAATTTAATATATACATATCTATATACAAATGATACATCATTGCTAACGAAGTACGAATCTGAGTGAAGTTCAGTGTTTGAAGTTTTATGATGTTTAAGATTTTTATCGAAATTTGGACTTAATATCTGCTAAAAAAATTTACTATAAACGTTATATTTTTGTTTGCTAACCAATAATATAACCTTATAATAAACGTTGTGTAAAATATTTAAATATTTCGGATTGGCTAATATGCATGTAAATAAATCGAATAAATATTAAAAACCATGAAAATTTCAAGTGCCTATGAATAGCTCATAAACCGCCAGAATGTTTCGAAAATATTACCACATCTAAAAAACCAATTTAAGTATAATTACTATGAAAGCTACTAGAAAAATAAAAAAAAATACTTCCCCAATGCACCAACTAGATCTAAAATGTTACAAAAAATATTTTTTATCAATTTTTGATTGGAACATAAGTTCTAGATAAACAACAAAATTCATCATTGCAATATCGTATATTATAATAATTTATAATATTAACTCCGATCACGTAGTGTAAGCTAATTACCTACTAAATTTTGTTTTTCCATGTAAAAACTAAAGAACATTTCGTGAATTACAACACAGTAATCACTTTATTTTAATTACAATTTTAATTGACAGCGTATAGTATACATAATATAATATTAAAAACTTTGGTACGGTATGTAATATAAATACTCATATATATTATTAACAATGTTACTATTGTTTAAATCTTACAATTTACTGCACTCTTGCTGTAAATTGTAATTATTTTATAATTATATTGTATGAGAAAGAACACCCCGTGATGTGATGTGAGGGACGTCGTCGTTATACACAATGAAAATCAATTTATCAACTAATATTTAATTTATTTTAATAATATTCTTCTTGTCCAAACGTCAAAACTAATAATATTCGGATATCTACTTAAAATTTGATCAATATTGCAATGTAATAATATTTTACGTAATAATTAGGGCAGATATTCATATATAAAATTGCATTTTGTATATTTTGGCGTTAGGAGATTTTTAGAGCATATTTTAAGGGTTCGATACATTTTCTGAACATATTATATAAGATTTCGTACTTTTTTGAGACATTTTTAACATAAAAAAACGAGAATCACAAAATAACTTTTCAAGATTTGTAAATAGAGTAGATATTTATAGACTTATGCATAATTATATTGGTTGGTCAAAAAATAGTTAGCACAAAACTTCACTAAATTCAGAGAGTTTTTGGGTGGGAATCATCTTTTCAACGACGAGGTCAAATAGATGATGGAGAAGTGGTTGGAATAGCGGTCGGAGAGTATACTCGTATACGGGCATACAAAAGGCCCGTACTGTAAAAACGCATTGGACTTGACGACGATTATATAGAAAAGTATTTTACTGTATTTGATTCATATCTTGTGAATTGAATTAAGATATACGCATTTTTCTAATTATATTAAAACTGTAACCTTACTTTTTGGATGACCTTCGTACCAAAATGTGTCTCACGATTCTAAATACTAAATGTCATTTTGAGTATCATTGGATTTTTAGAATTTAAGGGTATATTAGGATATTTTAGGATTTTGTACATTTTTAACATGATTTGTACCATAATATTTTTTTTTTCGAGCATATTTTAGTATTTTTAGTGCATATCGGCTGTCTCACGAAAATATACCCTTTGATTATCCCCGGACATAATAAAGATAAACAAATTCTGTTGTTTGTACATTACTCACAAGGAAGAGTACTATAAATATTTATATTTAAATAGTTTTTTTTTTTATTAAACAAATTTACAAAAAAATACTTTATTTTATTATTTTCGGAAAATTTTAAGATGGACATTCGGCAAAAATTTATTTTTCTGAAAATTTTAATGGATTACCCATTTATATCCGATGAACAGTTTCTAAGTAATAGCCATTTTAAATTCTACTAATCCGTGTGAAAACCGATATTATCGCGTAACACGGTTAGGTTATTCCCTAGATAACAATGATTTTTACACGGATTAGTACAATTTAAAATGGCTGTTATGTAGAAACTATAAAATAAATTTTACCGAATGGCTATCATACAATTTTCTGAAAATAATAAAATAAAGTTATTTTTTTAATTTTTTCAATAAAAAAAATTCATATTTAAAGGGTATATCTTCGTGGACATACTGTATATATGTATATTTTAAGAAATTTAAGGGTATATAAATATCAGCCCTACTAACAATAATAAGAATATTTGTCGGTGAGACGTTTCATCGTGACTGTGATAATGTGCAATCGACATAACCCGACCGGTGAAAACCTGTTCAAAACTTGTAAGTATTGCCCGATGCGTTTTCTTTCTCATCATTCTCGACTTCTCGTTCCAGTTCAGTCAGTCAGTGTCCGTATGCGGGTACACTGTATTATTACAGAAAATAAATGCTCGAAATGTATTTCCCCAAAATACAAAAACTTTAAATCGTATTTGTCCGAAAAGTACAAATCTATTATCCAAAAATATGAAAATCTGATTGTTCAAGGCCCAAGGTAGAATAGGGCAAGTAAGGCTTATATCCAGGACTTCGATCCGGAATGATACATTTCGGAATTATAATATTATGGTCTGGCCACATATTAACTTCATTCAGTTTTGGGCCTACTGCTCATTATACTCCACCCGATATGCACGAATTGCATTATCAATTCGTAATATAGTATTTGGCCATTTTTTGGCCACTTTTTGGCTCTCAATATTTTAAAAAAACCATGTTTAAGGTAGAAGCCGATCAAACTAAAGTAAAAGGAAATAACTATCAAAACGTCCGAAACTTACCAAATATATCAGTGAACTTCTTTTAATGAAACATATATTTGATTACATGTTGTAGAAGTGATAAGCTAATATTTTTATTTTTATTACATAAAACAAGAAAAGTACTTGAACAGAAAAACAAATAAAAAAAAAAAACACTTTTCTCTTGAGTTAAGTCTAGCTAGATTATGAGACTAAGAATAAAGCTCATAGATATATGTATAACAAATATACATGTACCAACATAAGCAGCAGAGAAGTAGGTTAAGACAAATTCTATGAACAATTAACCAGGTAACGATAAATTACCGAAAGTACAATGAAAATCATGTTAGGCGACGCAAACGCAAAAATAGTAAAGGAACGTATGTATTAAAAATCGGACTAGAAAGTATATAGAAAGCAACAATAACGGTCAGAGATTAATCGCTTTTGCAACATCTAGAAGTAAAGTAATAAGTAGCATAAGTTTCCCCCATACGAGTAGACACAAATATACCCGAAAGTCCCCTGATGGACGGACTATGATCCAAATTGATTTTTAAAAGATTATAGATCCACTATAAAAGGTGTGAGGAGCTACCGGGGTGAAAACTGTGATACGGATCATTCGGTGATATACAATTGTATACACAATTGTCGTACAATTTGTACGACTGCTTACGATTTCTGTACCTGACTCTTAAAAATATTACGATTGCATACAAAACCGAGTGTAACGTTGCCAACATGCAATACTCAGTTTATTTACTATGTATATAATGATTGTTATGTGAACATATAACATACGAATATCCAGTAGCTAGTAAAATGTATAGTAAATTAACTGTTAAGAAAAAATTGTGCGTGAATTGATAAAAAAATGATTTTAAGTAATTATTAAGTACTATTGAAATAATACAGTAGTGTATAGTCAGTTAAAATAATATATAATTTATAATACAATGTTATTACAAATAATAAATTATATTTTTGTAATCTGTATATAATATATTAAGTTACAAATAATTTAAAATAATTATAACTATAACATAATTTTGAATTAAAACTATTGACACAAACTGATAGTATAAAAAATTAAAAACTATTATAAATTAATAAACAAATAAATTATAATCTAAAACCTTGGTATCGGTAACTAGTCTCTGTAGATAAAAAATGTAATACATTACCATCTATTTTAAATTGAGTTTATATTACATGCGATTATTTTTTTTGAATAATTTTAGTCGTAGAAATAATAGTCACAGTTACGTTTATTAAACCAAGTACCTTAAAGGTTAGTTAATCAAAGTTTTTTCCTAAAATAAGTTATATTACATATTTTTCAAAAATTTCACGCTTTTGAATATGCAACGGCAACGTTGCACTAAATTTTGGTAGGTAGAACGTATGCCAATCATATTAGTGAAAAAGATTAATACGCAATCGTAACGCACCCGGGGTCATTTACTAGTTATTTCCAAATTCTGTCTCAAACTACAAAGAGCGAGTTGGCACAAAAAGAAGTGAAAATTGTCAAAGATAATTATAACTTAATCCCCCTCCCCTCCTAAGTGAAGAAAGTTATAAGATGAAACGATGGGTGGTATTAAACGGGTAAGGCCCTGTTATTAAAATAAGAATAATAATACAAAAATTGAAGATAAAAATGATAATGAAATACAGTCAGTATTGGGAAAACAAAATCAGAAATCATTACAATGACAATCGAAAATGTTTTTATTTTATTTTGAGCATTAATAAAGTGCATAATAATACTGTAGGTAAAAAAATGTATTATTTTACTAGATCGATATTAAAGAGCATTAAAGACTCTTTTTTATTTTTTATTTTTACATAATTCAACAATTTTAAATACAATTATTTTTGTATAATATATAGCAGTGCAAATAAAATCGAATGCACTTTACCGTGAAAAGTATCCACGTGTGTAGTAGTTGTTTTATACCTGCAGACGATTTGTCTTTGTCGTTTTCATTCCTTAAAAAAAAATATTTGTACTCGTATGTTTATGTATGTGTGCAACAACACACCGATGTTTTGTAGGAGTCCTATTAAATTGACATATTATCGGAACCTATGTGTCAAAGCGATAATAATAATAGTTGTAAAAAGAAAACGAGTTTTCTGGCAGAAAATACAAATAAAAATCATTGTAAATACTGCAAATGCCACAAGTACTGTATATAGCTGCATAGGTATTAGAATATGACGGGGAGAAGGACAAAACAAATTATTATCATTATTATTCTAAATTTTTTTTTTATAGTTAAAAACTGTATTTGATATTATTATTATTTGTTGATCTTTCTTTGTTTTCCCTTGTTGCCAAGAAACTGATTTTGAGATCTCAGGATGGAGTTTACGTCTTATTTAGTTTTCTGTAGTGTATACTTGTTTTTTTTTTTTTATTCATACATTAAGTATCGTTCGATTTATTGACTTACTAACTATTTAAATTCCTAGAAGGTGATACAGGGGAATTTCTTAGGCATTTTAAATTGTTTAAATTCTTTAATAAGTCTTATATTTTTTTGATTTTTTTTTTTTAAAAACGATACCAAATTTTTCTACACATTTGAATACACCTATTTTATTTTATCTTAAATTCCACATTTGTTCGGTTTGGTATCTTTTAACATTTTATTAAATTTAAATTTTTCATTTTTTCGCAGGGAAAGTTTTTTTCGTTTTTACTAAATTAATTTATTTTTTTAATCAATTTATGTGTATAATAATAATTTTTTCCGTTTATTATAAAATACAAATTTTTATATTTTTGATGAAATTAAACATTACTAGAGTCATAAAAGATCCTATTATTTAATATTTCAAAAAATCAATGGTATAAAATAAGATATATAGGTACTTAAACAGATAATTATTCAACACAGTTTATACTGCTCTTCTAAGCCAGGTTCTGGTCTAAGCCCTTTTAAGGGTAGAAAGCAACGCAATTTGAAAATTGAATTTTTTTATATTAAATTATTAGGTTTTTAAGGTGCATATATTTTATCATTACCAAAAATACCGTAAATGCAATTGATTGATTTCATAATACCATAATATGTACACGTATTTTAAAAATAATATATGGATTATAGGTACTAAGTAAAAAACAGTAACTGATAACATATACATACAATTTTTGTTTAGTATTGTTATGAATTAAGAAACCAAGGCTATTCAAAAAAAATTATTTTTCTCAAAACTATTGCTTACAATGTCATTTACTGTTTTTTGGCTCCAGTTAAGCTTCAGCATTCATATTATCATATTATAACGCACGTCTCCTATCTATTATTATATATATATATATTTTAAATTAACTACAGTTATTTTTTTTTATTTCTACAAAGAACTCTTCCCCTGCCCCTCGTTTGTTAGTTTTTAAAACTTATAAAAACTCGTAATATACATTTCAGTATGTATATATTTGTATACTTATATAATGTAAAAAATATATATGTATATATATGTATATTGTATATAATTGTAAATATACAGATACTGTAGAATTTATGTATTTTTCACATAAATATACTCGTTATAATTGATGAAAGAGATTTTTTTTTTTATATCCTCAGGAAAGTTTTTTAATATCCGCACTACTAAATTCGAAATAAAACAAAGGGATGCGTATCAACGGAAATTTAATTTGCACGTAAGAGCTACTGAATTAGAATACTATTATAAAACATCACTTGTATTTGTTTGTAAACAAATCATAAAATACATATTTAGAAATAATTCAATGAACGTATTTGTTACAAATAATATTTGTTAGATAAGCAAAAGAAAAATTCAATTTAAAATTTAAACCATATAGTCGCAACTACGGAGACGGGCTAAGAATACTTAGTACTCCAAAATGATCAATTTCATCCAAATTTTTTTTAATATTTTAGTTTTGTTAAAAGTTACAATTTTTAAAATTTTTTTTTTATTATTATCTCTGTAAATAAGTAAAATGTGTTATAACTCTTTGATTAGTAGCCAAAAAAATAAAAATAAAAATGATTCAATATTTTCTATTTACTAAATATTCACTTCACTAATATGAATATTAAACATATATTATTATATTAACAATATTATTATTTTTTTCTACATACTGGACGAATACTAAGTCCAGCGTTCGTGTATTTTTCCAAAATACGCTAAGTTCGACATGAAAAATGAACCTGTAATACCAAGATCTATTTTAAACTAGTTCAATAATAATTCTCAGACTTATTAAATTCTAGTGACCGAGCACTACTGTCGTCCATGGGTGATTTTGTATTATTAAACAACCACGAGGGGGGGGGCGGACAATTGATACGCCACTGTATATATTTATTGTCTTTGCCTATATACCTATATGTAAATACATGATAATACTAATAATATGCAAAGAGGTCTCTGTGTAATTTATATGGCAATGCATATGTTACTAGCGATGTTGGCAATTGGAAAACTATAACTATTCTTAATACAATAAGGAAATGGCATAATTGCATAGTAAATGTTATCATGATGTTAAAATTATAGAAGAAAATGATGACTATGATTATACTAGAAGAGTGGGTAGATATTTTAATATATTGTAAATTATATTTGTATTTATTTATTAATTAAGTAGAATACTTTAATGCTATTAATTTTTATTTGCACAGGGTAAACTTCCATAGCATTTGGAATTACAAGTATTTGCAGAATGAAAACACATCTGTTTGTTTTGTGTTTTATTTTGTAATGGCGCCAGGTTAGGTTAGGAGGTCCCTAATATGCTATTTGTAGCCGCTGCCGAATGAAACATTTAGTATCTAACATGTTCTACTAAGCATAAATAAACCTTTATAGGTATGGCAATAAATATCAATACAGTGTTTCCACAGATAAGTTAAATACTTAGTTAAATTAGATTAAAAATCTTGACATTTATTTTCAGTGTATTATGGCTCTAATAGCCCTAAACGAAAAATTATTTTAAGCCGATAATATTTACCTAATATGTCTTCACTTATGGACTTTTTTTGTATTTCCAGTATACAATTTTATATTGATAGAGTAATATAATGATGTGTGATATAACTATACTGTGTAATGCTATTAATCTTAACCGTATTAGGAATTATCAATATATCAGATAGCACATATTATTTATGTACTTTATGTAAATCATAGACATATTATTTATATATCATTTATATTGAGATAAAAAGGGAAGTTCGAATGGGCAGGCCACGCGTGTTAGAAACAAAATATCATAACAAATAAACTGCGCCAAAAAAAAACTCAACAAGCAAAAGGCCTCTAAACACGCTAAAGCTGCACTGGAAAGACTGCATTGGGAATGTTTTTTTAAGTGTCATATTATAGGGATATTATATGGGGAAGATCACTGAAATCTGGATTGGAATGAGGTAGCAGAAAACAGAGAAAAATGGAAGATGATTTTTTTTTTGTATAACAAGATTAACTTAAAGGCCTCTTAGCCTCTTAAAAAAAAAAAAACTATTTATGCGATGGCTAACGACACCGCGTGATAATAATATGGATTTCGGTTGTTTCTCTGCCTCGGATAACTATACAATAAATATTAAATATTATTACTATCTTTCACTGTCAAGAGTGGTACTCCAAAAGAAAACCACTATCACCACTACAATCGCCATGATACTCTATTATAATATATATTCTATCTCTGATATTATAATATTTTGTTTCCTAAAACCGCGTGTATGGACAATTGAGATTAGGACGCCGCACGATTAGGAGTACTCGTATGTAGTCAATATCAGTATTTATTATTTATAATATCATCGGGGACCACAAATTGTCGAAACTTCGATAATTATTTTGGTCTGTGGTATATTCATATCGTTACAGGGTGATTTTTTTTTTTAAGAACGCTCGTCACGTTTTTATAATATGCTTAAATAATGGATTTAATCAAATGTAAAGGTTTTAACATTGAATTTCAAGAGTGGAATAAATTCTGCTGTAGGCAATATTCGTATAACATCTTTAAAACATAGATTTTTTAAAAGATTTTTTTTTACGTAGAAATTAATTGTGGGATATTCTTGAAACTTGGTACGCAAAATTTGAGTATTTGCATAGCACATTTAAAATTCACGCTATAGATACACTATGTTGTATCACTACACACACACATACACACACTATATAATATAACTGTACTAAACAAGACGTAATACTAAACAACTTTTTTTTGGAGAGGGAAGGGAGGATAACATTTTGAAAAAAGAAACAAAATCCTATAGTTGGTGAAGTTAATAAACATATATTAGGTTTTAAGGTAATAAAACCTATGGTTTTGTTGGCAGGGATTAATCTAAAACTCTCCAAAATACGCCCTCGGTACTTTGAACGGTGACTTTTGAACGAAAAAGTTGAACGATTCTCCGAAGAAATGTCTATCGAGCTCATATTAGATCTTTACGGTACACCTTATTTTTTTTTTTAAATTTTACTTATAGTTTCGCGCGTTTCGTGTATTTTTCATTCCGTAAATTGAAATCGGTAAAAAAAAAAAAAACATTATAACTCGTTCTGTACAAAATATAATAGTATTACACAGATGTTTATAGTTCCATCTACTCTACTCACACATGTATTTTGTATTTATTTAAAACAAAATACAACCATTTCATAATAATATCAAAATAACAAATATAATTTCTTCGATATTAAATGTATATATACATAAAAAAAAACAGTTTTTCAAGATATTCACTTCGTTTGATATTACTTCATAAATATTTGTCGTCTTCTTTAATATTATCGAGTTCACATTACAATCGTTTTTCATTATTTTGTACGTTTGTTCCGCTCACATGAACAATTCTCTCTCGTTTTCGGTGTATTATAGTAGAATATTATATTATTTTATAAAGTATAAACTTCAATAGGGTATTATGCACTTTTATAATAATCTGCTCATCTATCTCTCCCTTTATAATACGTACACATTGGTTTTATAACATATCGATAAATTGGAATACAGGTATTTCACAAAAGTTTTATTTTTTATTTTTTTCAAGTTTCGAAACACAGATATTTTTGTTGACTTTGATAACAAGCTTCCGGCAATGACGCTTTTTTAAATATTATAACAGATGTTTAGTTTTTCAATATTTCATTAATTTCCTGTAAGTACCTATATAGATTATAAGTATAGCATACCCACCTGTATATTATATTAATTATTTCATCACGGTAAGGGAAACATTTTAACTTTCATTTTTATAATGAAAATAAAGACGGGGGGATTATTATTTTTTTTTGCTTTGACTTAACGATGAAATGCTATACAATAATTTAGTTGGTAAATTTTACCGTTCTGGTAGGTATACCTACTTAATAATATATTTTATGATGACTTTTGTAGAGTAGGTACATTTGTTTCACTGCAGCCCTCGGTCACAATAATAGGTAGTCACTTTATAATTTAAACTATTCCATTTATCACACTGGGTACACTTGTTAGGTATCTACAGGATGATCCACTTATCACAATTCATCAATTCTTTCCTCTAAGATACGCAATAAAATAAAATTAAAGATTAGAAGATTTCATATTTTCATATCTAATCGGTTGCGTTGTTTTTTTCTTATATTTTTTCGCGTGGGGTAAACATTTTCCAAAACTTATATGCCAGCTGTTTTTTGGTCTTAAATTAGTAAGTGATCTTCAATCATAATTTTCATTCCAGAATTTTAAAAACTTTTCAATACGCCTACGTCGACCTTGAAATGAATCGATGCTTCAAAACGAAAAATAATTACTTATTCAATATATGTGGTTATGCCAGGTAAATATTTTCCCAGCATGATATGGTTGACTTTGAAGGAGCAGTTCAGGGTTATACTGATTCCATACAACAAGTTCTGATTCGTTGATAAAGTTAGACAAACATGTAAGTAATAGATAAAAAAAATATCATACTGATATTTGTATGATCTTTGGCAATTTATAACCACGTTTATGTTTGAACTGAAAGATAATCTATACCACACAATACCATAATCGATTGAACGTTAATAAATTGGGAAACCTAAAATAAAAAATTATTTTACTTAAAACCGGATACCTACTAATTTTATCATATCGCCTGCTAATATTTAAATATTATGAACCATTATTTTGTGATTCTGTTGATATTCATTGTTTTTAAAATATCTTCAAAATGTATCAAATTCTTAATTATGTTCTAAAAGTGTAAGAAAATCCCTAATATATACTCTGAAAATACAAAAGCCACAATATGCAAAACATAATTTATTTCTCTAGTTTCCTTCAATGTAAATTTTAAACTGTTAAAATTCTTTAAAAATTCCATAATAATAGAAAAACAGAAATAAAGTCCACTTAAAATCCTCCGAGAATATGCTGGTTCATGATAAGTGGACTATTCTGTCGGTACTTATATACTCGTATCATAATTTTGCACATTCATACTTTCTAAAAGCGTTGTAGACTTTTATTTAAATCATTCGACAATTATTGTAGGTTGTAAGCTAATTATTTAATTTATTATTTTTAAGCCAATATTTTGCATAATAGTTTTATTACTAAAACGTTTCTTGACATTTTCTTGTTGTTTTCGAAGCCAAAAAAATTCAATAAAAAATGTATAAAAAACACATATAATATTCAACGTCATAAACCTCACGTAGATGAATTTACATTTTACTTATATTTGAACGCTTATATGATCATTTCTCACTTACCTATAATAACACCTCTCATTCATTACATTTTTTTTTACTTTTAATTATTTTCTATAATATAAACTTATTGATCTTAATCTTGATTAAATCTTAATTGATCTTGCGTATAGGTTATGTTTATAATTTGATAATACTTATAATATTATAAGTGGAATTAGAATGTTTTTGCATATAAAACCAAAAAAAAGCACTTAAAATATTTAAAAAAGTAAAAGTGGTAGAGGAATTTTAAAGCCTTTCCTCTATCAATTCGTACTCTATCAAAACAAATTTTCGATTAATGACAAAAGATAAACATAAAGTATTTTTTTTTAATAACACGTATAAATTTATTTGAAAAATATTTCTTTGTAATAATTATTTTTGTAGCGTAAAAAACTATTTTAAATAAATTAGAACCATTATAGGGGAGTAGGGACTTTTAAACTGCTCTACCATTATTGGTCTATTAAATATTTTTTAAATGATTTTCTAAGAATTTTTTGATGTTATCAAGCTCTTTTTGTGGATTTAAAGTGCATATAAGTCCGTTCCCTAATTATAAGTATTCCTATAACTAATTGGTAGTCCAATTTTATATGTTGTCTACGGTCTATGTTTTTTTTAAACATTTTTCTTTTTATTTATTAAGTTTTAGTTATTTTTTAGAAAATAATTTATTATAATGTTACGTCTGTAAAACTAATTAATTAAACTCGACGTTTACCTGAGCATGTGCAAAAAATAAACTGTGAAAAAATACGTCTTATCAATTTACAAGACCCGTATTTTTATTGCCGATAGATAATTGTGAAAAATAGATTTAAACATAGTTCCCCAGAGACTCATTCTGATATTTTAAATTACCTATTCTGATTGCGTAATAACTAATCTTTGGCTATGTTACTTCAAAGATGTCGATCAAAGAGTGGATATCGATTCCTATGAACAAATAAAACGGATGGCATTTAACAGAGAGACATGCCTGTCTCAACGAGGCGTTGCCTTTAGGAATTGATGATTAATTTAAACTAAAAGTGCTTACACGCTGAAAGAATTTAAAGAATAAAAACGGTTTATTAGTGTATACATATATTCTTTGTTAGTGATTTGATATCTAATGTTAAGTAGAGTGTGGACCGTGGTTGATAATAATGATATTATAATATAATATTGATATTCGTGTAATTGCTATGGCAAGCTTAAATAAAACATTTAGTTCAGTTTTAGATAAATTTGTCTTAAAAAGTATTTACATATGCTATGTTTATATGGTGGTGTTAAAACGGTTTCAAATTAAATAGTTTTTAAAATTATTAAAACCGTTTATCTGAATATCTATTAATAGGTTATATATTACGTCCAATATCCATAGTCCATGTCCATGTAAACCGATTTAATATATATAATTTTGTTATTTTGTTATGATCGAATCACAATATACACTTTATCATTTAATTTTAAAGTTAATATTTGATGGGACATAAAATAATGAAACCGAGACTTTTTAAAACAATGCGTAATAATTGTAATTATTTTATCATAATATGACATATATATATATTGTTGGAAAAGCGACACTATCGACCGAACTCTGTTCAGAATCGTTTTTTCATTAGCAATGGTTAATCGTTGAATACAGATATACATTACATTTTCACTACCTTGCAAACTACTTACCTACAACAGTGGCCCACCTCCGTATGAAGTATGTCTGCCATTTTTAGATTTTCTTTATGATATTTTCAGTGGTTTATCCCGAATATAATGTTAGGGCAGGATTTTATGTAACACATCATATCAAATAAAAAATTCGTAAACCTACTAAATTCACTTATTTTCATATTATTTTTAAAATCTATTAAACAAATACTTCAAAGATTTATAAGGATTTCGTAGATTTTTGTTGTTAGTTTAGTAATAATTTCGTTAATACTCGTATTAGACGTTTTTTAACCTTTAATCACATGTATATTTAAAAAAAAAATTAATTATTAAGGACCAAAAAAAAACTTTCTATGAATTTTGTACACGTTTGTTGGGGAGGAGAAGATAATAATTATGGTAAAAAAATAAAAGAGCGACTCTCGGTGGTCGTTGGTGCATAAATAAATTATATATATATATAAAAATAAAAATGTTAAATTCGTTAAACTTTAAATTGTTTTACTTAATTAAAAAATAACCGAAGAAAAATAGAGTATCCGGTAAACTATATTATATTTTGTATACTTGCAGTTTTCCTCTAAAGTTTAAGGAATCTGTTTAATTAATACCAATACTACTGGTTTTCTTACTTTTTAGTTTTCAAATAAAATAAATATCATATTTCGTAGAAAATAAATTATTCCAATTTTTTGTTTACATAATGGTATAAAAAATTTATAAAAGCATTCAAAAATCAGTTATAGGTAGTAAATTTTCTGCGTAACTAAGGTACTTATATTTATTTTATGTAATTATAATATTATATAGCCAAGAATGACTCGATTCAAAAAAAAAAAGTTATACTATTGGTTTTAACGTAACATAAAAAAAAAATTTGGCTTATACTGCTAGTAGGTGTGTCAGTGTTTTAGGTTTGAAGTTGGAATAGAGCAGAATGTGTAGAGAAATTTAAATTACATAATATGTACGCAACGATAAGCTATTAAAAACGAAAAATGATCCTGAGTAGAGTATTATTAATCGTATATTTTTCTTAGTTGATAAGATTACACAGAAATTAACAAGTATTTTCTATTTTTCCAATTAATTAAATTAAAAACAAGGAAATAAATATGTTCATTGAACTAACTAGATAAAAAATTACACCAGAAAATGTCTAAAAAGTTTTTGATTGCAGCAAGATTACTGGTTCAGTAGTTGTTTACAAACACATATACAAAAAAATAAGAACTGATACTGGAAAAAAGTGTGAGAACCGTTGCAAAAATTAAAATAATTAAACCAAGACACAACGTTACTGTAAATATTAATCAATTTAAATTTTTTGGCTTTTCCCGATTGTTATTATGAAAACTATTTTGGGTATCAAAATACCGATTTTTTTTCTTCAGTAGCTATATATTAAAAAGAACCAACTCAATATCTTGTAAATTTCAATTGGGGAAGTATTAACAGACAAAAAAAAAACAAAACAAATCATTGTAAAATAGGAATCTACGGTCCAAATCTAAACTAAGAAACTGACATACTTCGCACGAAGAATGGGCTACTGTTATCACACCTTGTTAATGAGAATTTAGAAAGAGAGAAGGGAAATTTAATGTTTATCTGTATGCAAATATTAATCATTGCTAATGAAAAACGATTCTGAACGAAGTTCGGTTGCACATGTTTTAAAAGACCATAATATTTACGATTTAAAAACAATATATTTCGTAAATTTTTCAGTTTTTCCCGTTTAAATGGTTTTTAAAATCAGTTATGTACATACAAATTTAACGTTTATCAGTATGAAGCCCATCAGTATTAACAAAATATAATCCTAATATATAATAATTAAGAAATCAAACCTAAACCATTATACGTCATTTACACGCCAAGACCCTCTTCCCTATTCTTTACGATACAATGAACGAATTGATTATACGATTTGGAAAGTATAGTAATGATATATATTTTTTTTTAGGAAAATATAATAGCCAGTTAAAAAAAAAATATATTTTTCCGACAACAGATTAATAATAATGGGTTGGAACATAACTGGATATATTAAAAACCATACTGCTGTTGTGTAAATTATATACATACATAGAGAGAAAGAGCAGCGTATACTGTGCTGCTATTCGGCGACCACGTAGAAAAGACAAAAGTGGGACAATACGTCTAGACTATGTCAAACGAGTGATTTTGTTATTAAAACGCAATTTAGAAGAAAAAAACCACCATTGACAGGTCTGTGAGTTTGTTCAGCGGTTTATTCTGCATTCATGCAGTGTTTTTTTAACATTAAAGTTGTTGTATATAAAATGGAAAATATCACTGATGTATTCTACAAAAATATCGGATGATTATTGTTTTATCACGGAAAAAAGTGGCTATGATTATCAGTTATACGAGGATTTTGGGTTTATTTTGGACGTAATATCATGTTCACCGATTACGATCAATGCATATTATACTAGAATAAACAATTTTTACATTATATAAAATCGTGTACAATAATTTTAATATTTGCAATATTATTAAAATTTTACCACATTACCGTATACCGTAAATCTAGTATGAATACAATATTAATAATGATTTTCAAATATCAACATTTCAACATTTTGTAGAAAAAAAAATTATTCTCTAGAATCTCATTTTAAATATGCAGATTGATATTTTGGATTTCATCATTCCTTTTGAGGGAAGGGGGCGATGGGGGCGAACGCCAACGAAATGGATTTACTTTGGCATTTGACATAGTCATTGGTCCAGAAGTAGATATAATAAATATATAATTTGTCATAATTTTTTTTTTTATCGATCATTAATATTAAATTTAACTATTTCGCCCTTCTCCCACAGTCAAGGTCTGGAGATTCTCCTGTAAGTTATTATTATGTGTTTATGGAACACGCGGTATTAGAGTTTTTTTTTTTTATTTATGTACATAATTACAATCTCTACACATGTATAAAATAAGAATTTTTGATTACATATTTACATATTTAAATTTATTAACAAACAAATTAATTTGAGAAGAATCAACTTCTTGGAGGCACTCTTACTGACATTTAAAATTAAATTAATTTTTAACTATATTTTTATGTAGGGTAACTGGGGAGTGGGAGTGTGAGTTTCTTAATTAGGGTGTTTGGATTGTTTGCAGACGGTTGTGAACATTTGTATGGAAGCTATGAAAGTTATTTTTTACAGTGGGAATGTTTAAGTTCTTATTATATAGTTTCATTGAAAATGTACGAGTATATGGAAGGGTGTTAAATGTGCAACGATGGATTTTAGATGATTGAACAGTTTGGATTTCATTTATGTATATTTTAAATGATTGTGGCATCCCAATGTTTAACTCAGTTTATGTGCACATTTGTGTATTGTGATACAATAATGTACACCATTTTTTTTTATTTCAAATTATTTACCCTCCCCCCCTCCTCCTAAAAAATTAAGGTCTAAAGCCACTGGTTTTATTAGGGATTTATTAATTAATATTTGTGCGTAAACATCGTTTTTTGTATGGTTATCAGTAAGTTTTTGAAGTGTTCATCAAGAATTGATCCAAGCTTTTTTATTAGTTGGAACAGGAATACTATTGTTGTACGATACTATTTATCTTTTGTTTAGCCTTACGCTAATTTTAGTTATGCACATCGTTGCGGTGTGACTGTGTAAAAAAAAAAAAAAACATTTTTTTTGAAAATATATTGTGTTTTAACTAATATAATAATGCCTTAAATCAATAATTTTGAAAATACATATAAATATATGATATAGTCGTATACCCTTATGCAATTAAGGGGAAAAAATTACATTAGAAAATATAGTTAAAAAAAAACACCAATGATTAATTCTGAAAACAAAATGAAATCAGTATTTGAGACCAATAAAGATATAATGATTGATGAAAAAACAAACTAAATTTACTCAAAATCTTCATAGATAATAATATAATCCCTGGTACGCAATAATACAATAATCACTGTGTAATATATCGATTTAATCGATAAATGGATAAATTTCTTGGCTATAAAGGACATTATATAAACATATACATAAAAAACTGTTGATTGTATAAACTACTGAAGTATAGTATAGTATAATAGACATCAATTAATATACAAATTATATCTGTAAATCGAACATAGGTACAGTTCCTACACAATTCCTATTGCTGTCTAACTAAAAACTATATGGATAATCCATCGAACCGAAGCTTTATTTCCTATATATTTTGATTCTGAATATATCAATCACGAACTGATAAAAAAATGTGTTTCAAAATTTTGGTCGACGTGAATTATTGACAGTTTTGTTGTTTTTAATAAAAGTTTTATTTTTTATAATGTTTGTCAGCAAATAATACATTTCATTAATATTTACAAATTAGGTTTCATTTATCAAAATTGTTTTATTAACCCAGAACAATTGAAAATTATTACTTTTATTTTTGATGTCACGAACCAGACGATGAGTTATTATACACAAATCATTAAAATTGAGTTATGAAAAAAAAAAAATAATAATAATAATATCCGTTTATATAAAGATAGCTGTATACCGAAATGACTGGAGGAAATTTTGGTCAAATAAAAAAATAATTGCCAGAGAAAAATAACCAAATAATAATCGGACAAAAATTTGATATTTTTTTCGTGGTCATTTTAGATTGGCTATAATTATATCTACGAATATTTAAATTTATTATCAAAATCATAAACTAAGTCTAAAAAAAATAAAAAATTATTCTTCTACACCTTCTTCCGACTTCTATTAATTTCAAATAGTTTTTGCCGCCATCACTGAATTATCCCATTTGTCACGATCCTGTGTTATCTTCCTAAAATTTCGTACTCCTAGGTTTTCCAAATTAATATCAATCAACAATAGGCAATTATCAAAAGTATAATTTCAAATAATCAAATACTCATTTAACGAAGGAAAATATGGCCACGGAAAAATGTGGTAGTTTTTCCGATATTATCTGTTAGCCACATTATCTTCTGGTTATTTTGGTATACGTCTATTTCTATTTGGCTATTTTAGTACATGCCAATTTTTATATGGTCATATTGTTGGTACCACTAGACTCGAGACAATTATTTTTATTAATATATTATAAAGAAGGAGTTATGTTTGTTCTATAATATAAGTATTATTTTATGTAAAACGCATATTTTTATCATGTGGGCGGATATAAGGGGGTGAACGATTGATAGATCATCTTCCTTTTAAGATTTTCGTCACCACTGTATACTATTATTACCTATAACATAATACTTAAGATTTATACTCGAATTACCCCTGTAAATTAGAAATTCACCCGCTCCCTCAAAATTAGGGACTGATTTTCACATTCTCACGTATTTTATCTTATATGAATACATTTTTTTTTTTTCGTTCGATACGATTTTTTTTCGCAATATAGAAATAATAATGATACAAAATTGCGGCGCGGTTTACAAAAGTATACGTAATTCACAATATTGTGACAAATCGTTTCGCCTTAATAATAATCTGTCATCGTATATAATAAGGATACACAATAATAATATAATATATTATATAATGTTATATCGACGATGAAAAACGATGACACGCATATTATTGTAAAATAAATATAGTATATATTAACGGTATTTCGGTGACCATTGATGAATGCTCGCGTTCAGTTAGCCATAAAGTTACTTTATGATAATATATTATATGACTACCAAAGATCGTGATCATATTAACTTCATTGAGTGCTGTGAATTTTCACTATACAATGGCAGATATTTAAATATTATTTATTATTTATAGACTTTATGACAAATATTATGAAATCGCTTAAAGTTCTTCCAATACGTGCAGTTTCCGAATGCGAAAGTGGTTATAACAAATGGAATGGGAAAAAAAGAATAAAACAAAGAGCGGAGTTGGGGATAAGTGTGCCACTGTTAAAAGCGGGAAGTTGGAAAGTCAAGATACATGTTTTTATGTTTTTATGCGCTCTGATATATACTGTTTTAATTTCGAGAATTCATTAATTTTTTTAGCAGTGATTAAATTGAGAATAACTTTGAAGAGGGACATATATTTACATTAAACATGACAAAAATTCAGGAAACCTTTCATGGGAGACATGACTTTCAAAATATTTTTGTCCTTTACACATTTGTTCATAAAAAAGTTATGATAATAAGGCTTAATAATTACGGCAACCCTTCCCTCCTGAAATATAATATTATCTTAAACTATGCCTGCTTAGCAAAAATAATGTAAAACGGATTATAATTATGTATAAATAATCCAATAGTTTATTTTAAATAGAAATAAGTCGAGTTTATAGAATTCGATTAAAAATACCTCAGCAATAATACACGAGTAACTATACTGTGTCACACGAGTGAAGGTACACGTTTTTCGTCAGTAGCAGCACAGTTTCCATTACTTTGCTGTTTGATTACGATTTTACGCGGTAAGGGGTGGGGGAAATTCGGCCTCCGTGCTTTTGCCGATGCCTTCTCTCGTGAGAAGGAGTCTAAAACGTCCTCATGGACTACCACGACTTTAACCAAAGAGAACGGATAAGTTTGTGTTAAATAAGAAGGGTATCCTCCACTTCTTCCACAATGCATGGTGTTTTATTTTAAATATATTAAAATCGGTTTTCATGGAATTTTTTTCACATTGTTGACCCTTTTGTTTCCAGAATATTATTTTTTTTTTGATAAATAATATCATAACTAAGTAACAAGTGATACGCATTTAATTATTCACAGCATTTAGAATTACATGTCCCCGTAGAAGGACAGTGGGAGTGACAGAATTTATCGCTTTGTATAATTATAGGAATATGCAATAACCTAATTTTATAAAATTGTAATGTTCACTGCATAGCTTATAATATAATAAATAATTTATTATTATTGATTATCATATACGTATTATTTTCTATACTACAGCACACGTTCTTTCGTTTAACGCGCGTTGCACTGTACGTAATTTATCTTCGCCACAGGGTTGTATTATAGTTAAAGTTAATCAAGTTTTTTAATTTACATATTTATAACTTAATAATAATATTACATTTCGGTCGGTCATGTGTGTTCAGCATCGAGAAAACGAGGATTTAAATTATATAATATTATCTCGGCGGCGGCGGCGGAGGCGGTGTTTTATAATATAATTTAGAGAAACGTCGGCAATGTAAATCCAATATTATGCAGTTATACGAAAGTTTATAAATAATAACGTATAGTTTACACATATGTGGTAGTCAAATTTTGTTTCTAAATTTGTGCTGACATTTACGATGGTTATTGAGTTTGATGTACTTACCTACACTGCGCGCGATGGAATTATAATTATAAAATATAAATTTATAATATTCATAAATTATAATATTCTTGCGTGATTATTTTACTTGCTTTTTCCGTTGTTATTTAAAAAATAAAAAATAATTAAACAAAAAAATGATTCTGAGCGGAATTTGGTGAATTGGTAATGTTATAGTATTAGTCGTGTTGGTTTTGCATGTAACCAAGGTAACCCATGAATAACACAAATAAAACTTTTATATCCGTGTATTGTTAGTCTTTTTAATTTTTAAGAAAATTTGTCAGAAATTTCGTACATATCCAAAATAATGTACCTACTATCAGGAAAAAAATTCATATCTATGTATCTATGACATGAAAAAATTGGAGAATTTTTAATAATCTATAAAGTGTTTTCCGGGGAAAAAAAAAAAACATTTATCTAAGTAAAACAATAAATGTTTTTTAACTATTGTATCTAAGTAAAACAATACAATAGTTTCTTCGATAAACACAGAATTCAAAATAAACACAAAATAATTACAACATTGATAAATAAATTTGAAAATGTTAAACAATCTAATCTGGAATATTATTGAGTATTATCATTGTCGACTATGTTTGTATACATTTTACTACCAGTTTTAATTTTAAAAACCGTCAACAGAAACATCAATTATTGTTACAATAGTTTATTACTAGCTGAAAAACAAAAAAATATTAAGACTTATGATGTTATTATCTTCAATTCTTACTTACGACGCTTTCTACCAGAAATATTGATGCAGTAGAAAAACAACAAGAGAACTGTTTTTTAAATTTTTAATCTAGTTGGTGAATATGAGTCAATTTTTGATTTTCAATGTATTTTTTTTTTAAAGTATTGAGCAAAAGAGAAAAAAAAATGCAAAAATAACGGAAAAATTTATGAAAATAATGTTTTTATTATTCTCAATTTCAACTAAATTTTATTGTTGTAATTCGGTTAAAAATATTCGTAAGCCTAAAAATTATATTTACTTTTTCTAGACATAATAAAATTGTTTAAAATGTTTGTATTTTTTTTATGCTATATATCGAAATTTTAATTTTGCGAGGTATTCACGTAATTTTCTTTTGGTAGGTACTCTGTGGATAAAATGATAACATTGTTCGATAAACATAAGTGCTTGAAAACGTGTCAGATAGCATACTTGTCTTACTTAGTGGTAAAAAAAAATTTAGTATAATGTATTATTTATTATTTTTTTAAAGAGTTTTAAAATCGAATTTTGATGGAAATCATAAATATTACGGCCTTTTAAAACATATATAACCGAACATCGCTCCGAATCGTTTTTTCGGTTTATCATTGGTTACAGATAAAAATTAAATAACTTTATGTATCTTACCTTCCCAACTGCTCATCTACAACAGTGGTACACCCGTCCCCAGTATCAGTTCTTTATTTTCCTCTTTACTTTACATTAATTAGGTATTTTACATTCAGAACTTAGATTTTTGAGTACTTTTGAACACCTGTAGTTTTATTTAATAGCTTTTTTTTTTCAAGTTTCATTATAATATTTTTAAAATAGAATTTATTGAAAGCGTTTAATCGTTTTGAATCTTGGTTTTTTTAAATAGTATATTAGCATTAGTAGGTACTGAAAGTTCTTAATTATTCCGGTAGGTACCATAAAAGTAAGAAATAAAAACAAAACAAATAATAACGTTATGATACTTATTATGATTTAAAATGAAAAAATTTGCATTATTCAAACTTGATTGAGCGTGAACGACGAGATTATATTTGTCAAAATCGTTAATTTTAACGAGTTGTTGTGGAACGTGTCAATATAGCTAATAATTTAAAAACACTGAAATATAAGCGTACACGGTAATACATTTTTTGATAAAATAAGCAGGTCAATTTAATCCTATTATTATTGTAGTTCTGTCAAAGTTAGCGATGATTCAAAAATTAATTATTTTTGGAACAACGAGTTTAATGGTATTTTCGATAGATACCTATCTGATTGTTGGATAAAAATACTTACTATAAAATACAAATGAAACAACCGTGGTCCATATTCAAGGTTTACTTATTATTGTGTACATATAAATCTTATACGATATCGTCTATATCCGAGTACATGGTCTCTGTTTTTATCGTCTTCAACTGTCAAATATTACATCAACCTTTTTTTTTTTTTTTTAATACATTTTTTATACTTTATGCATTTCATGCAATTATCGTCTTTGTTATCATGTTTGATGATAATATCCTGTGATAAAATTCGTAAATGTGAACATATTTTACAAAATGATATACTATGTATGTTTTGTATTATTTTAGATTGTATTGGTTTTACAAAGATGTTTATTTATTATTTTATTTTATTTTTTATGTGAATACAATTTATTTAATATATATTTATTTAATAAAACTTATTTCGATGTACGCGATGTAGATTCTTTTCTGAAAGAAAATTTTCTTGGAGTGGCCTTTTAACTCTGATCTTCTTCCTGCCTTCCTTCCGTGACTTAATTATACCTTTAAATTCTCTAATTTCGCATTCCCTTACTCATTACCTCCCATTCCCTTTTCAAAACCGCAATACCTTTATAATAAGTATAATAATATTATTATTTTTTTTATCCTTTAATTATGAGAAAATATTATGTTTGTAAAGTCACGAAAAACCCAAATGAATAAATACAGGTTTGTATTTCATATTTGAAAATTATACGATATTATTGTTTGAATATATTGTATTTATTAAAAGGTATGCTGTATTATAATTTTGATATGAAACTTTATTGCCATTTCTATAAATATCTCTATCCGTATTATATTAAAATGAAATATAGAATTGTTTTTGAAATATTTTCCTTTGTGTTGTAAACACAAAATAATATTCAAACAGTGAACACGATAAGTACTAAACAACTTTTTTTAATTACATTTTCAAAATATAAAAATTAGTTTATATACGCGCGATTAATTTTTATTATTATTTGTGAACAATAGTAATTACAATTTTATAATATAAATGAAAATCCACTCGATGACAAATAATAATTTATTCTTAATATCGTATTTTTAAAAAAAATCGCATTTCAATTTCATAGATAACACTATTTTAGATTTAGAATCTATATTGGTTTTACTATGTGTGTTTTTTTTCGGTCTGTAAACAACTTGTAGAAAACTTGCCCCAATTGAAAAATATATTAGAGAGGAAATTATATTATTTTCAAAGTAGTTTTCAAAATAATTGAGAAAAACCGTAAACAAAATTATAGGAAGAACAGTAAATGTTTACGGTGTTACCGATTGTATTGTTTTTAATTTTTGCGCCCTATATTTTCTGCCAGAAATAATTTTTTTAATTAAAAAATATGCCATGTGAAATTTTTTGTTGCAGTTTTAATTTAATTGGTGAGTAAGTAATACGTTTTTGATTTTTCAAGTAGTTGTCTTCATAATTGAGCAAAACCGAAAAAGACAAAAAATAAAAACTGATCAATTTATGGCATTAGGAGTCTTTTATTTTAAATTTGTGCCGTTTATATTTTCTATCAAAATATTTCTGCAATTGGAGAACGAAAAAGGTTTTTCTCGGGTTTTACAAATTATTAATAAGACAAATACAAATCATATAAAAAATGATCGCCTTAATGCGTTAAATAGGTACGATTTTTCTTTTAGAAATGATACTACACTTGAATATCGGAGTAATATTTTTGGTAGAACGTTCAGAATCCAACAACAAATTTCTTTTGAACATTAATTTAGTAGGTTCTGAAAAAAATGTTTACTAACGGTTTTTATTCAATTAAATTTCCCATGAAAGGTGAGAGATTTTTTTTTTTAGAAGAACCTGACTACCAATGTAGTTCTATTATAATATAGAACATCTCCTCGCCTATTAAATCTACCCTCTTTGCTTAGCAACCGTCCAAACTCATCTTCAACAAGCTATTAACAATTTTCTTGAATGAATCCAAACATCTGGTTTCACCCGAACAATTCCAATGTATAATGTTTAAACGAAAACTTAAAATAAACATAAAAATGGGTAAACATCAATTAACTAATAATAATACCATTAAGGTACTCGATATAACATTCGACAAAAGATGTTCCTGGGCCAACCATATTAACTCCTTGCAAAATCTTAACGTTATCATCACCAATCTCTCTATTTTTTAAAAAAAACGACACATCCACCACTATTTACAAACAATAATACTTTCCTTTAATACAAAAAGATGCCATAAGCGAAAAAATGTATACCGACGCTTCCAAAAGCCAAGAAGGGATTGGAGCCGCAGTAAACTGGAATAACACGAAATTAATGTATAAACTCCTCCAGCTTCTGCTCAGTTTTCACAGCTGAGTTAATGGACATAATAAAAGCCATTAATATTTCAATCATAAACCTCCTCCAAGACACCATCATCTTCACAGACTCCTTCAGCGCCATCAATAATTTTAAAAATACATATAATACTTCAGATATCGGCTTACATATTCAAAACAACATTCACATGTCACAAAACACCAATTATTACAAAATCAAGCTATTTTGGATTCTTGGATAATCTAATATAATAGAAAATGAGCTTGCTTACATCACAGCTAAAACCCTAATCACCTCTCCGCTATCTTCGTTCACACAAATCATTTCGTTCAGGGACATATTAAGACTGATAATAAAAAATGCCAACTAAGATGGCACCAGAAATGAACATCTTACTCCTCAACGCTTAATCACATCAAAAATAACACTGACAATTTGACTTTCCCTATCGAAATGCCCAGAAAGTTCGAAGTTATCATAACGAGACTCAGAATCTGACACCCACAGTTTTTTAATGGTCAAGGAAGATCTCCCAATATGCTCAGCTTGCGGTGTCCAAGTTACCAACAAAACTCATCTTTACTAAATGTCGAATATTCATCAACATCAGAACAAGCTTCAACCTGCCTGAATTATTAGCTGAAACACTCAAAAGTCATTCCCAATCAATACTCAAATTCATCAAAGATGCCAAACTTCAAACCAAGATCTAAAAACCTACTGTACAATTAGAATATGTAAACATACATGTTATGTTAGATAATTATTGTGTAATATACACAGTTAAATCATTTGTAAACCCAATGGCCACGTTTCTGAGGGTCTTTCTTTCCAAAAAAAAAAAAAAAAATTGTCTTCAAATTATAAATCATTTAAATAAAATAATAATAATTATCGATGTTATTATAATACGGAAAATCGATAAAATACGATTTGACTTGTATGTAACTAAATTTATTTGTAAAGATGCATTAAACTTCTGATCCGCTCCATCATCGTGTTTTATTACAATCACGCGTGTTGTTTGATTTTAATCAAAATTATATAGATTACACGATCTAAGTTTAGATAATATATTATAATATAACGCCGTGTATAATAATAATAATAGTATAAGCCGACGGGCGACGATAGTTACAACACTTGTATCGCGATATAATAATAATAATTGATGAAGTTTCTGCACCGGGCGAATTGACTGGTTAATGGCGTGTGAAACCGTTGATGTATTTGATCATCACACACACTCATGCATTCGTGTTTACATTTAATGATCTGAAAAAAAAAAATAAACTGTTTTGCCTTTTTGAAACTTTATAGTTTCGTATTTTTTTAAAAAAAAACTTTAAAATACGTAATATAATAGGCATTGAAACAAATGTTATTAAAATACTGCGGATGACCTGCTCCCACTTTGTTAAGAATTGTGCAAATAATGTTGTCATCTATCGTCATATAATGAAAAAGCGTAACAATAAAAAAAAAAAAAAAAAAAAAACGGACATACTTCGCACGATGGATGGGCCACTATTATTGGTGAGAAAATTGGAAGGTAGGATATAGAGCTAGGGAATTTTATGTATATGCAAAGATTAATCATTGTTAACGAAATACAATTTTAAGAGGAGTTCGGTTATACACGTTTTAATAGAGCATATAATATTTAACGGTTTTCGTCAAAATATGATATTAAAGTTCCTATAAACAAAAACTACAGTATACTCAACATCATATTGTATTGGTCACACTACTACGATGAATGTAATTTTTTGTAGACAAACTTTTTTGTCAATAAGCGTCTTTTTTACCAGAAATCTTGATTGAATAAAAAAATTACAAGAATTTTTGGCAAATTTTTAAAATTAACATCTTTTCTGAAAGAATATTTTATCTAGTTTATGTGTAAAGAAGCCGTTTTATATTCTGAGTGTAGTGAAGAATGTATTGGTGCTACTAAGATGTTTCTTTTTTCTTTTTTTTTATCCAGTGTAATCAAATTTGACCATAAATCTTGCTCAGATATATAAGTGTGGCATCATTTCTGAAAGGGAATGTTGTTCAGATGGTACTTTTGGAAGATAATTTTTTGATTTTTTTAATGATTTTCATAATATCTGAAAAAACCAGGTTAAAACATAAAAAAAAATCGGGAAATTTACGAAAATAACGTTTTTCAAATTTTTCAATTTTGTTATTTGTTGTAATTCAGTTTAAAATATTCGAAGACTTGAAATTTGGATAGAAAATGTATATTAACCTTTTCTAACCGTGATAAATTTTTTAAATCATTCGAGCCATTTTTAAGCTTTTAATATTTTTTTTGTTCTAAAAAGAAATCAAACTGGGGAGGTACTTAAAAAAAGCCATTTTCAATTTTCCTAGGAGTATTTTTAATAAATGTGAAAAACTGAAAAAAATAATGGGAAAATGTACGAAATGTAGATATTAGTTGAAAAATATCTGAAATATAAAAGAAAATCTGACTGGGAAGGTACTTTTGGGAAGTAATTTTTTTATTTTCCTAAGAGTTTTCCCGGGAAATGTGAAAAACCGGTAAAAACATGGGAAAATCGGTATAATGTTTAAAAAAATATTATTAAAGAAATATATAATGCCTATTTAATTATTTTACCATAATATGACAATATATATATATATATATATATATATATATATGGTTGACAATGCATAACTATCAACTGAACTGTGCTCAGAATCGTTTTTTCGTTAGTAATGGCTTACAGATGTAAATATACCTCTAACAGTGTCTGCACTCGTCTCCATTTTCCTAGGACGCCTTTTTTACCATATATTTGTATTAATAATTGGCAAAGATGTGGTCACATTTTTAAAATATGCTGATATTTTTTTTAACTATTTGTAAGCATTTGAAATTTAATAATTTAGTTGAGATTTTATTTGGTAAGTATTATGTGGATAAATTGTTTGACAGAAATACCTTAAAGGTTACCTACACAAGGTTCAATATAAGTTCTACTTGTTAGTAAATATAGAAAAAGGAGTTGGGCGTCATCTATTAAGTTTTTTTTTTATAAACGTCTTAAGATCAAATTTTAACGAAAAGAGTACAATCGAAAAACATCTATAAATGTTATCTATCTATGTAATATCTATCAATGGCTTATCGTTGCTTACTGATATAAATTAAATAACTTTATGCATTTTTATTCTACTTTCTTAATTTCCACATGTAGCTCTTTTTCTTTAATTTTGATAAACACTGAAATGTATTTTAAAGAGAAATCACATTTCAAGTTTTATGCGAATAGCTAAATGTAAAAAGGACACACGTGTAAATTTTAAACTTTTCAAGAAAAACTAAAAACTCCTTATAAGGACGTTTTACTCGCATCTACTGTCTCAGTTCAACTATTAAGTAATATGCAAAAATAATGCTTATGCAGAATAAGTAAAACTAGCCTTATTTTGATTTAAGAGTAAAAGTATTACTCTAAAATCAAAATTAAGCTAGTTTTACTTTTTATCCGTAAGCATTGTTTTTGCGTGTTACCGGTAATTGGACTAGGACTGTGGATGTGGGTCTTATGTCCTCGCGTCTAGTTTTATAATATTCCATAGAAGATCTATATATAATTATAAATGATAACTACCGCTATAGAATATTATACATTAACATACATTTATTTTTCAATTTTTTCAGAGGAATTAAGTATTTTTCTTTCTTGAAAAAACAAAAACCACAGTTGATAAAACTTAGTAGGCGAGTATTTAAAATGTAGAGTACCTACATTATAGCTATACTTTTAACGAAATCACGATTGCTTTCGTATTTTGAAACAAGCCGCTGCGAGGCCCACACTCATGTAATTGTATTGTTGAGAACGTTTTCGGACGTAATGCTTTCAACTTAAAAATTCTAAAAAAAAAAAATAAATAAATAACAGAATTGTGCCACGAGGAGACGAGTGTTTAGCACTCAGTCATTGTTTACTGCGTACACATTGTCTACTTCTATTACCCAAGGTGTAAAGAATATTTATTTTTGTTTTGCCCATTTGAGAGAGTGATATTATTGTATACGTTTTTTTATTTATTTTACGCTAAAAAATTAGCTGTTTTTAGCCGTGCGTGTTGATGCAGCGTTTTAACAAAGAACCGTACAGTTTTTAAGTAGGCACATTAATTTCGTTTTATTAATTGACAAAAATTATACAGAAAAAGCACACTAAAAAAAAAAATCAAGCGTGTTAGACGATGGACACACCTGCAAACGTTTCATAATTGCAACTACGGAAAAACAAACAAAAAAATATCGTTCTAAAAAAAAAATAAACAAAATTACCTCCAATATTTATGAAGGGTTCCGTAAAATGTATCATTATCAGAAGTATTTATTAGGTAATCGTAAAATAATTAGCACAATTGTTTATGAAAAATCTTTTCGTGAGGGTAAAAATCACGGAGGCTATAGTTTAGAGACCTTTCTAAGACAAGATATTGTTAGAATAAAACAAAAAGAACTTACACAATGCAACGTAAATTTTAGTTGATCGATATCATTATTACAGAACAGTTTTCGGTGTTCGAAAACCTCAAAATTATCAGAAGTTTTAATAGCAATAATTTTTTAGATTTTAAGTGTAGTGGATGATATACTGGTTTTACTATGAAGAGTGCTAATTTTTTTCTTATATTTGTTAAAAACTATTCTACCAAAAATCTTACTTCATTATCAAAAAATGCCAACAGACCTTTTTTGTTGTATTTTGGATCTAATTGGTGTATTGAGGAGATCAATTTTTAATTTTCTAAGCGTTTTTCTTAATAATGGACCAAATCCAGGAAAACTTAAAAGAATAATTGACAAATTTACAACGTTAACAATTTCATTATTTAAAGTTTTTTTGATATTTGTTTTCTACAAGTAATTTTATTCTAAATTTCAAGAGTAACATTTTTAGCATTTTTGCTGGAAGAAAATGTTGTCTTGTTGATATATAAAAAAGAAAGACGTAATTTTTTTCGATTTTCCTAGTAGTTTTCTTGTTAATGAGATAAAAACGGGAAAGCACTCGCATGGTATTTTTATTTTAATTCGATTGAAAATAACTTTAGAGACTTGATGTTTTCACAGAATAATTAAATTAGTCTTCTATAGCCATGGTCAAAATATTCTAGATATTTTTTTAAATATTCATAGGCATTTGACATCTTCTAGGTTTTTTTAAATTTGTATCTGTTATCATTTAGATAAAATTGTTTGACCAAAACAAAAATATTTGAAAATTTAACTCGAGGTTGTACTTAGTAGTAAAAAAAAAAGTCTTGTTATGTAGTTGTTTTTTATTTTTTATATAAGGTATTTAAGATCAAATTTTTACGAAATTCGTAGAAAATTATGACATTCAAAATATGACGTATAACAGAAAGTAACTCAAAATCGTTTTTCGCCGGCAATGGTTTATCGTTAAGTACGAGTATTTATATTTTTATTATAATTATATCGAAAAAATAAAACCAATGCTGCACAGTGTGAGTTGGCCTTTTTAGATGGTGGAAATATGTTTTCTTAATTAATCTTGAGTAATTTTTTTCCCACAAAAAATATGTAGTTTTCACTGTCAAATTACGGGCGATAATATTTAGGTTGTATACTAAATCTATTTCCGGAAAATCATTTCTTTCGGAGAAAAACATCTGTTACCGTTTACTAACCTGTAAAAAAAAATAATTACTTGTAAGTACCTAACCTAACCTAACCTAACCTATCTATTTAATATCGTATACAAATAATTGATGCATTACTCATAATATCTATTTATGTAAATGTTTATTTTAATTTATACTTAATAGATATTTTATATAGCAATACATATTTTTAGATTTTTAATATAGACATTTTTGAGTTCAGATGATTTTCAGAGAATATACTGTTTTATCTATAATAATATGTATCATTGTTTCCTTTCCTTCATTGCTTATAATACATTTTTAAGAGCAGTAATTGTGGTATACAAATTTCACTCACAAACTTTTGTACATATTAGGTCAGCAATTGATCTTATTTTTTGTACCTGCTTTATATACTTTATAGGAGTTGTTTATAGAATTTTTCGAATAAAAGTTTGACAAAAACAAAACTCAATTAATTGTCTATCTTTGGAGTATATTCACCGTAACCATATAAAAAAAAACCTAATTTGGAATTTTGGAATTTGAGACTTTCTGTTAAATCAACTGTGCCACTTGATTTCAATGAGTATGACGATCATTTTAATTCATTATCACATAATTTGTTTTCAGAATCAATTATATAATATAAGCTATGATAACCTTTTAATAAATAAGGTACGTAAATTAAATCCTTTAAAAAATGTGTGTACCATTTATTTCAAAATATCTATATATATATATATATATATGGAAATTCAAAAGTCAACCACTATAAAACGATACATACAATCGTTATTCAATTTCTTATTTATAAATAAAACTAAGTAGGTACATAACAAATGTGTTCCATATTTTATTTTATGGTTAGAACGTCTCAAAGTGTATTTTCTCAGAGAGTGAGAAAATAACCGAATTGCTCCATTGCATCGTTCAAAGCAGTGTTGAAAATCAATCGTGTGACAAAAAATGAAATCGAAAATCGAAGGCGTACCTAATTTTTGTTTATCTTCTAGAAAAGAAAATATATATATATATGTATAATCACTGTCGCTAATGTACTAAAGGCGTTTATGAAAAAGAGACATTTTTCGAAGCACTGTTTTTTTTACCCTTTTGTCCTCTATAGCAGCGGTTCTCAACCTTTTTTCATTCACGCATCCCTTGACCACTCACTACTACTTTACGGACCCCCAAATGCTAATTTTTCATATATTTTCACATAAGATAGATATGAATTAACGAAATAAGTTTTAAATAATGAAAAATTTGATTTATTTTGATCAACATACACAATACATTGTAAATATAAAAATAATATTGAGTTAAAAATGTAATTTTAATGTGATCCTTGAGATTGTTTGCTAGCACTTAAATTTTTGAAATCTGGCATCTGGTAAAATACACTTATACTAAATCGTATAAGTTACGAAAAACCTATTTACATCATTTACAATATTTCACAACTAGTTTCACAAGTAATTTCAATTAATTACAACAAATTTCAATTTTTCCGCCATTACGCTTTTTTTTCCAGGGACCCCCTAATACCTTCTCGGGGACCCCTAGGGGTCCGCGGACCCCCGGTTGAGAACCGCTGCTCTATAGCTATTTTTTACATGTTGATTTTATAAAAAAACTAAGATTCATTATTTTTTACTTTGAATATTATAACGAGTTAATTTGAAAAATTTCAATTCTGTTAAGTTAATAATATTTTTCTAACTGTTTTTTAAACTGATATTATTTAAAATAAAATTTAAATGCGATAATAAACTGAAATTAAATGTATAAAATGTTTAAATTCCGAATGGAGCTATTAGTTTTCCTAATACATGCTTCTAATGCTATGGAATAACGCTTTTTTCTGTTAGTAAAATAATTATAAAAAGATACTCTTTCCTTTTGTGAAAAATTGTGATTTCCAATAATTTCCTAAATAATTAAAAACAGCGAAACAGGTGATATAACTGATATATATATATATCGATAAGCTGTATAAAAACATTAAAAAAATCTTATTGGAAATCAGAAGAGATTTTTTTTTTTGTTTGAGTATTTATAATTATCTTTTTAGTTTCTTTTCGAAATGGTCTATAAATGTATACATTTAATTGCTAATAATTGCTAACAAAAAACGATTCGGAGCGAAGTTTCTTTTAAACATGTACGTACGTTTTCTCGGTTTTCCTAATTATTATGAAAACCATTTGGAAAATTAGAAAAGAAGCACCCAGATAAAATTTTCTCTCGGAAAAGGTACTACACTTGAAAATTGGAACAATCTGATAAAAATGTTGTTCACAGATAAATAAAACAAAAAATATACATCATTGTAAAACCAATAAATTATTATATTATTATATAATATTTTAATTTCAGAAAATGGCTAATAGTCATATTAACAAAAGATTACTAGAACTACAAGACCTTGTGACCTTAGATCTATTGATCTAATATAATATGTAACGTACCATTGAAATTTAAAGCCAGTATGTGACATATATGTGTATATGTGCACTATAGTACCTTCAAAATTATCGGTTTAAAGGTTTTGAAGGTATTCGTCAAATATTGTATTTTTATTTAAATGTGAGAAATGTCAACATTCGTCCTGGGACTATATACCTAGTGAGTAAAGTTAAAGAGTGATATATCTTTTCCCTTAAATGCGCCACAGCTAAATTGCCTACCATAAAATATATTCTGGCTTTCCGTGTAATAATTTAACCTGATTTCGTATGATCTATACAGTGACGTATCAAAGGGTATTGAAACTCCTCCAATCTCTCAAAATTTCAAAAATCTTAAAGTATTGTTCTAAATATAGATTTTTTTTTTTTTATTAGTCAATTTTCGTTGTATTAAAATGTGATAAGTATTTGATCACAAAATTGTAAGATACTGGTTATATAAATTACCTGCGATAAAAATTGTATTTGTGAAATATTATCTTGTATCGCAATCGTATTCAAACTTTTTTTCGTATACATAAGTAGTTAAATAAGAAGGAATAAAATATGTGTATCAACACTGGATAACCCAACCTATATATTATCAAACGTTTTTTTTTTATTTCTGACGATTATATTATATACGTATCGACGTCATGTCAAACACACGCGAATATTAATATTACTACTACGTTATTGATGGTGTCACGAGGAGAAAACCAAGACGATTATAAGGATCATAATAATAATATTATACTAATGACATTATTATCATCATCCCTCAAGAACGTCATTTAAGTAAATGCAGTTTTGACCTATAGCAATACAATATCCGTTTTAATGGATTCAAACATCGAATAAAACCGCAGGTGCCTTAAAGTTTTATATAATAGTATAATCCATATTTTTTTCAGATAATTTTCAGAGCAGCGTGGAATGTATCAGTTATACTATGATACTACGATGTGTGATTATACTTTTTTAAAGTTAAGCGTAATTCATATTGCATACATTTATAGTATATATATATAGTTTTTTATAACCACAAAAAGTTCTAATATAATTCCTTTTATAATCAATTTTTTTTTTATTTTTCGATAGTAAAATAATGTGCAGGTATTTACCTATATATTTCACAATGAACCACGAAAAATGTAAACAAAATAGGGTCCAACATATTTTTAGTGAAAGTTTGTTTTAAAAAAATTTCAAAAAATAGTAAAAAAAAGCCAAGAAACTTTTTTCGTTGCACTTTTGATCTAGTTGCTGAGGAAATAAGTCGTTTTTGATTTTCTAAGCAGTTTTCATAATAATTGAGAAAAATCGAGAAAAGACGTTAAATGAAAATTGATAAATTTACACGCTATGATTTTATTATTGTAAATTTTAAATCCACCAGAAATATTGTTCCAACCAAGAGACCTTTTTTTCTGACATTTTTAATCTAGTTGGTCAGAAATAAAGTCATTTTTTGACATCCTAATTTTTTAGACTAAAATATGGTTTTTCAAAGATATTTATTATTTTTTTTTTTAGTTCTGTGGACAAATTTTCAACCAGCAATTTTGCTCCAATTTATAATGATAGAAAACAAGAAAATTTGATTGAGAAAGCACTTTAGATAGGTCGTTTTTCGATTTACTTAGAAGTTTTCCCAGCAAATGTGAAAAACCGGGAAAAACATTAGGAAAAACTTAGGAAAATCGGTACAACATAAAAAAATATTATTAAAGAAAATATATAAAGCCTATTTATTTATTTTTTCATTAATATGACATATATATGTTGAAAAAGCATCACTGTCAACTGAATTCCGCTCAAAATCGTTTTTTCGTAAGCAATTTATCATTGCTTACAAGTATACATTAAATTATCTAAACTAGTGGATGCAACCGTCCCCATTATCCTAGGACGTCGAGTTACAGATATTAGTTTACGGAAATAATGCTTTGATTTTTTTTTATTTTAATTTTTAATGTAATTTAGTTAAAGATATTCGTAGAGTCCCAACGCGTAGGCACCAGAATCTGGGAGAGTAGAGTGTGCGTGACACAAAAGCAAAAGCAGCAATAATAATAATAATAACCTATATTCATACGACCCGAATGAATGATGCTCACGTCAGTGTACCAGGTTAAGTGTGAACTGCCGGACGTCGTCGGAGGCGGTGCTGCTTGTCCGTATCGACGGCCGTTCGAACCGGTTCCAGCCGTGATACCGCAGACGTTTAGCCGACCGTGACATACTCCCCCCTAAGTCTGCAAGGAATTGTGTACCCAATGAGGTTATTCCGACGGGCCGTCGAGATAGGCGTCTAGGAACGCCTCGATGTCCGGCTCCTCCTCAATGGCCTGATCACCTGGTTGGTCTGTACTGGCTAGTGAAGTCTGCTCGGCCTCTACAGCTCCTTCCATCGCAATCGCTCTTCCTTATAGTTTTTCGATAGTTGTATCTGAATTGGTTCCCGTTTAAATTTGTGATGTATCCAATACTGATCGAATTGGTTCTCACTGTAGAACTTAAAAGTACTTAGATTTCATACTAGAAACATTTTTGCATTTTATATTTAGTATATATATATATATATAGCCGTATAGATGCAAATATTCAGATGTATTAACGTTATCTTAATCGATTGCGGTAGTTTGGCAATACGCCGATATAACATTTATTATTATCTTGATAACTGTAAAATATTTACCGTAGTATGATAAAAGTTAAATAAAAGTTTGAAAATGCACTACATTATACTTGTATTTATTGTGTTTATAATTTATTGTATAAATGCAAGTATTAAACGGGAATAAATTCGGCACACCTTCAAAAAGTATTCGTATAATTTTCAAACGGGAACCAATTCGGTATGTGGTGTATGAACTTGAAAACCAATTTGGATATACATGTCCTGACGACACCGGTTTCCCTATTAGCGGTGGATCCGGGTCCCGGACCGCGTGCCACCTAACCGGTGGCACGCGTTAGGAGAGGATTTGGACGTTTTACACCTCGTATCGGTAGCCCATTGTTGTGGCCTCGGGGAGAGGGATGCACCGCTCTCGACACCGATGTTCTTCCGTGAATACCCGTTCGAAGATGGGTATTCACCGGGTATTCGGCCGGATGCGGCCGAACGCTGCCGTCACCGCACCAATGTAGCCAATATTTATTATTGAGGGGGTTAGGTGGGTCTTGGGGGTATTATGGGTCTACGAACTTCTTAACCTTAGCTATAATCAAAATAAATTAAGCAATAGTAGGGAGGGGGTACAACATCCAAATGCCTTTTGGCTACGCCAAGACATACGAAGAAATGAATTATTTATCGGTGTAAATTATTATAGTAGAGGAGGTAAGCAGAGTTTAATATGTATAAATTCATAAATACATGTTTTGTATATCTGATAATAATATGTAAAAATATAAATATACATAAATAAATTCAAATAGAAATGAAAAAAAAATCGTATGTTCTTCGTTCTTATTTGGTTATTTTTGTATAAAGTAGAATCATCATATAAATTACGCCAGTATAAAGGTTTTTCGGACAGAGAATTAAAGAAAAACATAAAACAAAGTGATTCAAATCAAATGCCATACACGCGCGGTAATCGACGACACAATTCTGATCATATTATGTAATTTGATTGAAATTATGTAGTTGTTCCAAAGTTTCTATTTAAAATTTTATTAAGTGCGATCTTCATTCACGGTAATTTTCAATTCTTCGGGCATTCGAACGAAGAATTTTCCAAATCAGTTCAGAGAAATGTTTAATAAAAATACGTATACAGTACATTATCGATTACTGAATACCGTTATAATACAGTACTCGTTAAATATAATATTATTGTGTTTTGAAAAATAAATAATTTACCGATGACCACTATTCGGATTTATCCATAGACCTTATATTAATAGATGGAACAGGGTTGTAGTTCCAGCGTTCATGCGTGATTGCGCTGAATAAGATATTACATAGTACAACAGATATGTGCACAAGAACTACAAATTATACATTCATTTTAAATTGCACCGTATTCGTTATCAATATATATATGTACCGCATGCTATCACCATAATCTTAGACAATAATATTAATGTTATTATCGTTCTGATTAATGATTTCAAGTCTCACCATTCATATCATCTGAAATACGAACAATAGGAAAGTAGTTAACGATTTTTTTTTAAAATTGACTGAAGAATGCCGAACGGAGATCCTATTTAATACTCAATATTTACTATTAGATATTTTACCATTTCTATTAAATAATAATAGTGGAATAATACTATTATAATAATATAATATTTAGCCACTTATCATCATACAATATTATACAGTAATTCGTAGTTGTGTAGTATAATACCGTTTATAAAAATGTTTTTGGTCGCAAGGAATGGCATCACTGTTACAATGATTTACGGGTGACCGCACCATCCACCTTCGCCTTACTAAGAATTTCCATCTGTTAGTGTATTAGGTCTATGCATTTCTCTAGATTATTTATCTTGATAAACGATTTCAAGTTATCTTAATGTTTATTTTAAATACATCTTTCACTTACCTGAATCATTATTTTCTTTTCGAAAGTTCAATAATAACCAGAATAATTGGCTAAACGAAAACATTTTAATTGCAATTTCTGTTATTTTAAATCATTTAATAAACAAATTATGCAGTTAAATTAGGTATATTTTAAGCATTTTAACTTTTAAACTCAATTAGTTAACACGGAAAAAATTAAACGAACTTTGAAAATCAACTTTTAATTTTAATTTGTTTTAATTTAACGGGAGGTTCATTATAAGTCGTACTTTGTGTGGAAAAAAATTAGTTTAATGTACCTAGTAATTTTTTATTTTTTAGAATTTGTATATCTAATTTTGATGGAATTCGTAAATATTTTGGATTTTCAAAACATGTAAAACTGAACTTCACTTCGAATAGTTTTTCGTTAGAAATGGTTTATCGTTAACTACAGTTTTTTATATTTGTGATATGTGTATATTGAAAAAATAATACAGGGAAAATAATTCTTGAGTATAATTATTTAAATTGGTATGCATTTTTTCATAAAATATAAATTCTTAAAATAGAATGTGGAATACTAAAAACAAAAACTTTGCTAATAGATTTAAGATATTATAATGTTTGTTATTGATTGCAAGTATAAAAAAAGGTTAATAACTTTTGAATTTATTTGATGACAGTGAGGTACTTCCGCACTAATTTGTTTAATTTATCTCTTATTACCTTTAATTTAATATAAATCTATGGCAGTAGTATTATGCACAGTTATTGTCTATTGAAATTTTTAAGCCTTAAAGATTAAAATTTATTTATAAATAGGGCATTTTTAAAAACGGGGCGAGCTTTTTTAAAAAAAAAAAGGAAACAATATTTAAATAAATGATAAATGAGTAATAAATCTACGTTGGAATGGTGAATGCAGGTAGCTGATGTATAAAACAACACAGTGTAATATAAATATTGCTTAACCAAATTCGTATTTTCGAGCAGCTAGCGTACGTAAAATACTGATGCTGATAAATTTACCCTCGCGTTTAAAATCCATAAAAATGTAACTTTAATAATTTTTTTTCATGTTTTTCCACTACCAACATATATTGGTAATTTTTGGCTTTGTCTTACCATAGTATGGTAAATAAATAAATTGGTCGACTCACAGATAAGCACGTGTACCGTATTTTTTATTGATTCATTAAGAAGAGGACGTGATACCCGATGATATTTTGTAGTAAAACACTTTCGTGTGTAAATCAAAAAAGAAGTTTAAAAAAAGCTGTCCTAGAATAATGGGAATAGGTGCAGCCAATTTTTTTGTTGAGAATTTTGGGATAGTGTGATATAGAGGGGAAATTGATTTGTATCTGTAAGCAACGATAAACTATTGCCTATTATAAACGATTTAGAGTGGAGTTTAGTTGATAGTGATGCTTTTTCAACAATACATGTGTCATATTATGGTAAAATAATTAAATGGACATTATAAATATTCTTTAATAATATTTGTTTAATATTGTACTAATTTTCTCGTTTTTTCTACGTTTTACCATATATTTTTCCCGGTTTTGCACATTTGCTGCACAAACTCTTAGGAAAATCGAAAAATTACCTCCTTAAAGTACTTTACCAGTTAGATTGCCTTTCGGAAATCGAAAAATTAAATCGGAGTAAGCTTACTGGTAGAAAAAGTCTTCACATAAAAAAAAAAAAAAATAATAAACATCTCTGTAAAACCAATATATTCTTCGTTCCACTTAGAATCTAAAAAGGTTTAAGAATTATTATTGTATTATTAAAACACTAGCGTTATATGAAATCAATATTGAAAACTATACATTGTATTTCTTAGACGATTCCATTAGTAATTTTTTTTGGGAACGGGTAAGCCCCCGTCATAGGTCGGTAGTTGGGTAAGTAGATAGGAGATACAGAATAATTTAGTTTATAATAGACTGTATATAAAAATAATTCATTACAAACGAAAAAACGATTCTGAGCTAGGGGTTATACAAGTATTTTGCCCAATAGTCAAAGCAAACCATAAGTCAATAAAAAAGAAAACTTTATTGATAAAATATATTAAATAATTGTTAGTTTTTTTATTTAAAAGAAAAACTAATAGGAATCTAGATATTATTTTCAAACAAAGAACTAAAAATCCGCGTCTTTTGAGGTACTATGGAAAAAATTGAAACCGCATCTTAAAGTATAACTTGAATTAATCAATATATTTCTACAAAATGATAAAGTGTTTTCCGAACAAGGCAAAAAACACACACATTCGTTACACTTAGAATTTAAATTGTAATAATGCTTTTTGGCTTAGTTGAAAAAATATACGCGGTGTAAAATAAATTTAGGTTATACTATACGTAGTTATTTATTGTTTGTTTTGATCGAAAAAGCTCCTGTAATCTATGCAACTCTTTGTACTTATTTTTATTTTGTATACTTTTAAAATCTGTAACATACTTAATGTATATTGACGATATATTAATATAAAACCGAATGACATTTAAATAAATTCCGGTGCTTTATAAATTCGCATTGTAAGTCTACATATAGCTTTTATTGTTGAATGGGTATTAAGTAATATGACTCGTATAAGTATATTATTTGTGAGTCAATAAAGAAAAAAAAACTCGATGATTCATCCGTACTAGCTAGATATTTTTTATGCTACGGTGGCCTATGAAATCGAGTAAGTACGACGTATTGTACTACAGCGGAAAGTCGGAAACATTTATTTTTTTGTCCATATTTCCATTTTGAACGATGCTTTAGGAAATATGCAGTGGGCTATAATTTATGATATTACGCGCGCGTTATTGTGGTCAAATAAAACGTACTACTCACAGCAATGATGATAATAAAAAGTACCTATAATATTTTTGTCATATTCTTCTTTTAATACAGGATATTCTATGTAATTTAGTTTTTGTTTTATTGTAAACTAGATGTCCCGCCCGACATTACCCGTGCCAAACAAATGTGAAATAAAAACGTTTACCTCCTGGATTCCCTGTTTCTATCACTAACACAGCTGTTAATCATTGTTGCCCTTAAAGTTTTAGAAATTTTTATTTTGTAGCCAAAACTACTGAAGGCTAGGTTTACTATTTCTACTGGTTAGGATTTCAAAATCTTTAAACCTTCTTTGAATTAACAATTTTACCATATACATGTTCATGTAACAGCTGTTGCAGTTGCTCAGTAATCTCTCGCTTTACCGCATAAATAATAACACAACGCTGATTGATTTCATTATCAGAATTTCTAAGAAAATAAATCTAGATACATTTTTGATCAGCGTTTACTAGTGCCAGGCAACAATGATTTTGTACGTTGGTAAATTTGTTTAAGGTAAAAAAAAAAATTAACTTGACAAAAGTTTATTATATTTTGAAATTTACTACAAATTTTTATAACTGTAAGTGTTAAATTTATTCATAAAACTTTAATACAAAACGTTGAATTCATTAATTAAAGTGGTTTTTGTTTTTTCCGATATTTTATTTTTTATGTATAGGCTTAGCGAAATTTTCATCCATTTGTTTTATTTGTATTCATATAATTTATGGGTATATGAAAATGACAAGCCGCTGCGGAAGTACCGAGTTGGCCGTAGGCCAGTGAAAAGCTGCGGCAATCTTTACGTGGAGCTCGTAATCTATTTCGAAATAATGTTATTCTTTAAATTCTGGTGAATGAAAAAAACTCGATGATATTGATAAATTAAGTTAGTTACAGTATTAATTGTCTACAATAATATCACAAAATATATTATGAGCGCCGTTTTGGTTTGCTACAAGCAAGTGACGTAGATCTACACGTCGGATATATTCTGAGGTAGTCGACCATCATTTTGCAGTTTAAAATGTTTTTTCATAACAAATGATGAACAAAAATTATATTAATAAAATAAACATCCCAACACTGATTGAATTTTCATCGGATAAATTTTTCTGATTGATGTTTCTTATCAGTTCTTATATGCGGTGGTTTAAATGTATGTTAAGGATAAAATGCCTATCATCAACACTATACAAATATCGTATTTAATAACAATACAGACAACTTTGTAATCATAATATTATAAGTCAACGTTTTTCAAAAATTAGTGTCAAAAAATTAGCGATAATCATATCTAGCTTATGACGATATTTTTAAAATTACTTTGAGACGTACACAAATTTCAATTTACGTGAACATGTTTTTAAAAAAATTACTTGACAACAGTTTTAATATTAGTATTTCGATGTTCGTCAATTACGCTGGTTTTGGAACACTACCTGTATTTTATACATCTATTGCGCTGGGTCATTTTTAACATTTGTTAAAAAAACAAATTTAATTTAAAATTTATTAAAATAACATATTCATTTTTAAAAATTGTATTAAACCTTTCTACTTGAATTTTATTTATACATCGTCGAATGTTTTGAATGTTGTTGGAACTCTTACAGTGTCAAATTTTACTTTTCTAAAAATTACGTTGAAAAATTATCAATATAAAAATAAGAAAAGATATTATATAGATTGTTATTTATAATTATTTATGTTTTTATATTTTGGTTATGTACCTTTTATTTTTTGCTTCTCAACGATGTTCATTCTCATGTATGACTGAATCATTTTCAAAATTTCATAAAGATCAAAGATATTTAGATAGGGCGTATAAATATATTTTCCAAATGCTAAGAGAAACGACAAACAGGAATTTGTATTTCTTTCATCTGATATACGATGAAAAAGTTGCATGTTCACCAATATACCTATATATCAATGAGATAATAATAAAATAAATACTGATTCGCATTTTTACGTATTTAGAAATCAATCGGCACAAATAACATACAAATATATACAGTGTACCTTCGAATATCGATCAGCGCAGTTGATGTATAGTCGTGTATTAAACCTTTTTTTATCCCATAATTTTTCTTTTTTACCTGCGATTTCCGGCACCATTTATATATTATTATCCCTTTATGATTAGATTAGTTTTTTTCTTTTAAATCACGATTTTATTGTTTTTATAACGGGTCACTCTAAATAAATATAATATTTTCACAGGGCATTCAGTTTTTGTAAATTTTTAAATAAAAAATCTAACTGTAGCTGGTTATGATGGCGTTTCGATTTGAACAAAGTGGTATTATTACGGGGGCAAATTTAATACCTTTCAAATATTGTTTTTCGCATACTGTCGTATGAAATATAATTAAATATTATTATAAAGTAAACACAATCTAAAGCTTATTATAATAATTCGAATAATCTTTCCGCAAATACAATAACCACCTGTAAATATTTATTTAACTGCGGATTATTCGAGAATAATATAATTATAATAATATAAAACGCATTATTCTGCGACCGGTTTTTGGAATTGGCTTTTGGCATCGGAATATTATGCCACCGTATATAATTATATGATTAAGTTGAATACTATAATATTATTAATATTATTACTATAATTAATGGATAAACTTTTCATCATTCTACAATCCCCACCCTCATTGGAAATTCCTGAGAATTCCACTGATTAAAAATTATGGGGGAGAAGAAATATCCTGGGTTTTGTAAAAAATAACTGGTGATCGGTGTGCCATCCATTACCCAGTGTGAGTGTGAAGTTTGAAACATAAGATACACGAAGTTGTGTTTTAATATGTTCCATCTGTACGCAACAATGAACCGTTGATAACTAAAACCGATTCTGAGCGAAGTTCATTTATACATGTTTTGAAATACCGTAAGTCGTTCGATGTCGTCAAAATTTGATCCTAAACCATACCTGTACATAAAAAAAACTACTATATTTCTCTCAAATTTTAAATTTTAAGCTTTAATTTAAACTTATAATAAACCTCATATAAAATGTTCAAAAATTTTTGGTTGGCAAACAAGTTTATCTATATTAAATCAAACACAAATTAAAAAACTAGAAAATATCAAATACCCATAAGTAGCACATTTTTGTAGCACAAGAATCGAGAGAAGAAACCACGTTTGATAGGTATGTGTGTTATTTGAATATTACAGGTCTCTACGAGTATTTTTATTCGAATTATGCAAAAAAAAAAAAATAAAAATTGAAAATAACGAAATCGTTAAAACTCTAAACTTTTCTGTTATTTTTACAGTTTTTCTCGATTATTTAGGAAAAATACACACAACATTTAAAAACGGCTTCATTAGGTGCCAACTTAATGCAATTTTTATTCGAATAATGTAGTGCTTCAGTTGAAATTTGGAATTAGAAAGTTTTCTGGTAGACAAATTGTACACAAAAAAAAAAAAATTGCATACATCGTGGTAAAACTAATACAATCCTCGCTCGTATATAAAAATGAGCAAAGCCGTATGTCGCTGGTTAATATTATATCGTACACACGATTTATTTACCGTCAGACACGCGCAGTCATTCTGTAGAAAAAGTTTTTAAACAAATAAAAGTCGCTCGGTTATCGCTGACATGCAGTGTATAAATACGTATACGTAAGTATATTTGCACGCGTTATCGTGATTACATTTTATGCTCTCTGGTCCACGTGTTTGCAAATGGAAAATAAAATAATGTTCCAATGAATTGTGTGCTATTGATCAGAAATAAAAGTTTGAAGCGAAAAAATAACACGCGTAAATAGTAATCGAATATTTGTGTAAGTAATACCTATTGTTTGTTGAAAAAGTAAATTTTCAAACAATTCGATCGTAAAATGTAAATGCAGCATTGTCGTATAGTTAATCATATTTCCATGCACATAACGATATTTATAAGTTTTCGAGTATATCTACGAAATTGTAACGAATAAAATAGACATGGGTATAATAATGTAAGTAATATACAAAAAAAATTAGAATCAACTTCGCATGATGGGTGAGCCACTATTGTAGATGAAAAATTGGGAAGGTAGGATAAATAGGGAAATTTAATGTATATCTACACAATGTACACAACAATAAATTTTTGTTTTCGAAAAACGATTCTGAGCAGAGTTCGGTTATAAAATATGTTTTGAAATATTAACGATTTGAAAATAATACATTTTGTACATTTTCCCGGTTTTCCCTACGTTTTATCCCGAGTTTTTCCATTTATTATAAAAACAGCTTGGAAAATCAAAAAAATGATATCCTTAAAGTACTACCCCAGTTAGATTTTCTTTCAGAAAAAGTGCTATACTTGAAAATCGGAGCCAAATTTTTGATTGAAAAAATGTCCACAGAAAAAAAAATAAACATCATTGTAAAATTCTATTAGTTTTAACTCGTTTCGTTTAGAATATAAAACTATAATAATCTATAAAAATCTAGTGTACAATTAGTGTGAATTTGTGCGCGACAAAAGTTTACGTGGAAAAACGATAGTGGGAGGCGGTGTTAGGAATTTCCACCGGGTAGTCGAAATATTTTTCTAGATTTTCAACGGGTTTTCTAAAAACAAATTGAAAACCGATAACAGTTGACAATTCGCCAGGCTTAGGCGGAATCAATACAACGGCCCGACAACAATTTTATGGCCCGATTTATTATTCTATAGTTTTCACGAAATATTACATTAAAATATACGATACGGGGGTTGGATGGGCAAATACTAATTTCGAAGTAGGTACTTCAGTATTTGTGTATGTATAAAGAAAAACTTTAAAAACGTAAATCATAATGTATTGCGCAGCAGCGGTGGTGTACACAATATTATTATTATAATATTCGAGAGGCGTAGCGCGTATAATTTAATCGTATATACTTACTTTAAAATAAACGTTACAAATACTTACGTTTTGTATAATATCGCACATTAATTTTGCAGTTTTAAAAAATAGTATTGTTGTCATATATAATATATAATATATACACGTCGACGGTCGAGCTCGACGAATCATCCAACTCCGGGGATTGTATTTCGAATGCGCGATATGATTTATCGTTCGTTTTTGCGGTGGGTACCTAGGTATATTTAAATAATAAAAAAAAAAAATATATATATATATATAATTCCTCCGGTGTTCTGTGTAGCTGCAGCGGTAATTCCGCCCCAAAAAAAAAAAAAAAAATAATAAAATAAAACAAAAACCGTGACGATTATCGCGTTCAAGAGTATAATGATAATAGTAACAATAATATTATTATTCCATAACAATAATAATTTTATGATAATACCTACAGGTCCATCCTACCCTGGCCAATGTAAATCGTGAACCGTCCGAAACAGTCATCGTGATATTGTGACCTGCAGTAGCTATTATCGCTATGGTTATTAAGTTTTTTTTTTATTAACCGTAAATTTATCGAAAGAAAACGTAAATGTTATAAATTATCGACTTTATTCGAGCGGAGTTTTTTTTTTTATCGCTAAAACCGATATTGTAAAACGCGAATATTTCAGTGTACATTAACTATTAGTTTCTTCTAATAATATTAAATGCGTTTTAATTTTTTTTCCGTTAGTAAAAATACACGGACGTACTCATAGAGGGGAGATCATGGGGTTTAACCTCCTCCATTCGCCGTTTTTTTCTTTTTTTTTTGTGATAACTGCGTTTGAAATTTTTAACGGATGTTAAAATTCATTGTCGCATCGTATAGTTTATATTTAAAACTACAATATAAATATATTTGTAACACCAAACAATTATTCATAAATAATTAAAAATTAAAAGTGCATTAAATTTGTCATTTTATATTTTTTTTAGATTCCGAGTTTAGAAGAATGCATTGGTTTTAAAAATATGTTTATTTGTTTTGATTTTTTTGTTATGTGAACATTTCTTCAATCAGAAAACTTACTCCGATTTCTATGTATAGTACTTTTTCTGAAAGGCAATGTTCTTAGGCTGGTACTTTAGAGAGGTCATCATTTTTTAAATTCTCATTAATATTCGAGATAATGAGAAAAACCTGGTTCTTTAAGTTAAAAATTGAAATATTAAAAATAAAGTTGTCATTGGCAACGGTTTTTTTTTTTGTTATTATTTTAATCTTTTTTAAATAATCATTGTTATCATGGAAACACGCATTGTTGTATTATTTTCCCACAATATGATATATATATTGTTGATAAAGCAACACTATCAACTGAACTCAGCTCAGATTCGTTTTTCGTAATTAATGGTTTATCGTTGCTAACAGATATACATTTAATTCCCGGCTGTATCCTACCTTTCCAACTCCCTACCAACAATAGTGGCTGCGTCCACGTGCGAAGTATGGTAAAATAATTACAACAATGCGGGTTTCCATGACAACAATGATTGTTTAATAAAGATTAAAATAATAAAAACTTAAGAACAAAAAATAAATAAAAACGGTTGCCAATGACAACCTTATTTTTAAACTTATATTTCTTTTAACCAAAAGAACCGGGTTTTCTCCATTACCAAGAATATTAATGAGAATTTCAAAAAACGCCCTCTTTAAATTATCACCCAGTGGATATTTCTTTTTAGAAAAGATACTATACTTGGTAATTGTCTCTGGCAGAAAATGTGTTCATATAAAAAAAATAAACATCACTGTTAAACTAATACATTCCTCGCTCTACTCAAAAAGTCAGAATCTAAAATAATATTAAAGGGGTGTGCACTGATAGCCCCTTGCATATTTTTTTAGAAATTACCTAGAACCCACACCCCCGCTAATTGCGAATTCCTAGGAATGTCACTGATTTTATAATAAACCAAATTGAAAAATGTTTAAATTATTAATTATTTATTATTATTACAGTAAACGTTCTTAAAATATTTGTTTAAATCTATTGTTTATTCTATTACTCGTAAAAATAAACAATTTTCGTTTTGCTAGTTTTGGCAATAAATACTAAATAGGTCAATAATTACCTAGGTAAATTAAAAAAAAAAAATTGAATTTTGTTTCGCAGTTTTCGATAATATGCTCATATTGTCAGGGATTGTTATTTGACACAATTTCCGTAAAAACATCACCGTCACATAGTAATGAATTTTCGATAATATTTTAATTTTACATTTTTTTTTTTTTACTGCAATCGTTATCAATATTTCCAGTTTAATAAATTTCAATTAATAATTTTATACCCATATTGTTCTATATATGTATAGGAATCTACAGATACTGCATAAATATGTCACTATAGTTTTCAATCATACGACAATAGCAAAGCTAAAATATTAGGTTTTACGAAAATCGGTTTTACTTCGAGTATTTTTCATCGCAAAATTAAAATAGCAGCTTCATCGCTGAATTCTTTTAACAGTACATATCGTATTAGGTATAGTTGCAACTAAATATGGGCAATATACCTAAGAGTATTTTAGTAAGTTTGTGAGCAGAGCCTAACATTTTTAGCACATAAAATTCACAAAAAGACGCTTAAAAATTCCAACAAGGCTTGAAAAAAAGATTCATTAGGTTCTCGTCTTCTTTTCTCTAATATAAATATAATATATTTGAGTAAATCTTAGGTATACGCATATTATATTTATTTGTCGTTTAATTAATATTCTATATTAAATCGCGAATTTATGAATTCAATTTTCCCTCGAGTTTCCCCGTATCTAACCTTATGAGTGTACATAATATTATTATTTGAATAATAAATTATGCAAATATTATAATAAATTGACGACCAGCGGTCCTTCGAAACATTGACACAATTTTATATTTTTTTCGATTCAAATTATAATTATTGTTATTAGTTATTATAAAACAAAGTTATAAGGTTTTAAAACCGAATCTGTGTAGCGATGAATATTTTATAGTATTTTCACGTTCTCAGATAATTACAGGAACATTCACGGTGAAAAGAGATTTCCGAATATATATATATATATATATATATATATATATATACGTAAATAAACGATGGAAAATTATATTATAATTCGTTTCCCTGCCGATAAAATATTATTTTTTATTATACGAAAACTAATGATGGCATTGCGGTAGTTATAAAACGTTGTTAATTTTCATTTGTTTTTATAATTTTGTTATAACGGATTTTCTTCGGAATGGGTACAATTATTTCACCCCCTCCCCACTCCCCCCGAAGAAATTCACTCGGGTTTAGAAATGGTCGGTAGATAAGTATATATACTTTCATACCTTTAAAAACTCTGAAAATTGTTTTAAAAACGTTTTTATTGTGTTTTTCAAAAAAAAAAAAAAAAATGTTCAACGATCACATACTGAACGAGGTATTAAAATATAAAAGTGAGTTGAAGATTTTTTCAAAGTGCATAGTAAAACTTATACCTATAAAATATTATTTTCAGCCACGTGAAATATGAAAAATATTACATATATATTGGTTTGGTAAACGAAACACACGTGTAAACTGGCGATAGTGCCTACATGCGTTTAGGCTGTATTTGCACAAAATCGTTTTAATTCGTTAAATTCTTACAGTGTATTTCGTTTATTTAGAGTTATAAACCGATATATTTGAGTTACACCTCATACCCATTATGTCTTGAATGATTATATAAGTTGGATTTTCAGACAAAAATAACCCTTTTTTAAATAAGATTCAGAGGTAATAATGGTCATATTGAAATGATTTCGACAAAAATGGCCAGTTGAAAATAGTTAAATATCGAAATATTTCGATAAGAATATGGCAAAACACAAAATTGCCTAGTGGCAAGTATGGCCAAGATTTTCGTTTTCTACCGGAAATCTTACTGTAAATATTAATAGTAGCATTTTTTTTTTTGAAATACAATTTTGTATTAATGCGTTTAAAGGTTTTTTTTTTCTATTTTCCTAGTCATTTTCTGAAAATTTAAGAAAATACAGAAAAAATGGGATAGCCTATGGATAAAACGATTTCATAAGTTTAAATTTTTTTTATGTTTTTTTGTATTCAGATAAATGTAATCGTAGAGACCTTATTTTTTTAAAAGATATTTAATATTTAAATTAGCCCTATAGATGTGATCAAATTTATAAGATTTGACATTTCTCAGAATTTTGAACTATTATCTAGTATTGTATAGATAAAATAACTTGGCTAAAAAAAAAACGCTTACAAATTTCCAAAAAAATCATTTAATTTTGTACCTACTCACTGGGGAAAAGGAGTCGAGATTAATGTAGTATATTTTTCTGAGCATTTTAAATTGAAATTATGTTTAAAATCGTAACAATTTCAAACCATGTATAATCAAACATAACTTAGAATCGCTTTTCGTTAATTTAATGCATCCTTTTTTATTTGGTGCGTAGCTAGGGATTTACTGATTTTATTATGATATGTGTTCTTTTTTTCTGTCTTTGAACAGCTTTTATACTAAAATATTGCTCAAATATATAAAGTGTAGCACCTTTTCTAAAATATAATTTTCTCTAATAAATGCATTGGAGAGATAATTTTTTGATTTTTATAATGATTGGGAAAAACGTAGAAAATCAGGAGAATTTACAAAACGTATAATTTTCAATTATGTTTTTTGGTGTGTTTCAGTTTAAAATATTTGTAGAATCTTGAAATTTAAATATAAAACTTATTTTTATTTTCTATACGTAATGAAATTTTCTAAACATATCTGCCTTTTTGAGTTATTTATAGATATTTTAATTTGGTGAGTTTTTTATATAGTATTTATTTTATATGCGTTACCCTGGACAAAAATTGTAAAACTGAACAGAAATGCTTGAAAATTTAACAGAAAGGTCATTATAATTTGTAGTTTGTGAAAAAAAAAAATAAAAAAAAAATGGAGTACAATGTACTATTTTATTTAAACGACTTTTAATATCAAATTTTGACAAAAAATCATAAATATTTCAGCCTTTTAAAATGTGTATAAAAGAACTTTGCTCAGAATCGTTTTACATTAAGAATGAATAATTGTTGCGTAGTAGTATACATTAAATTTCTCTCTATATATATTCTACCTTTCTAACTTCTCACCTACAACAGCGGTTCACCCATCGTGCAAAATATCTCCATCTTTTAGATTTTTAGTAGAGTAAAGAAGGCTTTACAATGATGTTTATTTTTTATTTTATTTTTTTTTATCTGTTAACAACTTTTCTACCAGAAGACTTGTTCGGATTTCTGCGTGCAGTACTTTTTCTAAAAGAAAATCGGTGTGATGAGGTACTTTAAGGAGGTCATTTTTCGATTTTCTCAAGAGTTTTCTCATCAAATTTGGAAAACTGAAAAAAAAATTGGGAAAATATAAGAAATGTAGGTGTTAATTAAAATATATTGCGGCCTTTTTTTTTTCTGTTCACAACTTTTCTACCAGGAATTTTGCTCCAACTTCTTTTAACAATAGCTATGTTTCTAAAAGGAAATTTCGCTAGGGAGGTACTTTAGAGAGGTAACTTTTTTGATTTTCTTTGGAATTTTCTCATCAGATTTGAAAAACCGGGATAAAACAAGGGAGTACCGGGAAAAACGCAGGAAAAGTAAGGAAATTGGTCCAACATTAAACAAATATTATTAAAGAAAATATATAGAGGCTTTTTAATTATTTTACTATTATATGGCATATATATTATTGACAAAGCATCACTATCAACTAAATTCCGCTCAGAATAGTTATTTCGCAAGCAATGGTTCATCGTTGCTTATAGATATACATTAAATTCTAAGTCTGTATCGTATCATCCCAACCACCCACCTACTCCAGTGCCTTCACACGTTCTTAATATTTCACCATTCTTTTTTTAACCTGTTACGTTGATAAAGTTATTAAAAAATGTAAGTTATTATTTATTTTTTAATTTTCTATCTAGTTATCATCGACTTTGGTTGATAGTATCATACTACTATGTATATGTATTTTACCGCTTTGTCTAGATAATTATTATTCTAGCAATTAATAATCTGTTATCTAGATATTTTAAAACATATCTTTATACACAACACGCTGTAAACTACTTAAGCGTTCGGGCTCACCTCTCACCCTATATACCCTGTATTATTATATAGTAATGGCTCTGTGACACACGCGCATAAAACGTAATAATTAATCAAACTGCGGGGAAATTACGTAAGTACACTGTATGCGTGCGCCGGAATTTAAAAACAATTTGTTTACTATACTGTTATTATTATCATGCCACCCCTTGTCACTCCTATATGCTCTATAGGTATCTATATGCATAGTGTCTCGCGTGTAGGACAACCCGAGCTTTTCACAGGGTGTCACATACCCCGAAAACACAATGAACATTTATACGCTGCGACGGCCGCGGCGGTCGTGGCAGGGTGCACAAAGGATCGCGAATGACGGGTATATTATTATTATTATTGTCGTCTCGTCGGAACAGACATACATGCATTATTATAACATATGATTATTATTATCGGTGTCCTTTCACGTTTAAATCCTGCGCATATGGGAGCGCACCCTCGACGAGCAGCGTATTGCAATAATATAATAACGCGTGACCAATCCGCCACCGAACAAATCCTCGGAGATCCGACTGCGCTATGATTCCTACCATGTTACAATAACGATCCGCTCAGCGGTGTCCTGGGATCTGAATTTTAGAGGACTGCTTGAATTTACAAATCGCAAGGCCACTTGAATAGAAAAAAAGTCGATACTGCTGATTGGTGTGTCATTTTCGTATGCAGGAAGTCGGAACGGAAGATATTAATTATAGAGTGATTTAATTTGAATCTGTAAAGAACGATAAACCATTGTTAACGAACCGCGATTCATAGTATTACAAGTCGTATTTTTTTCTTGTTACCCATTTAGGTAACTACGAAATCAACAAAAATTATAAACATTTCTTCCATTTTCTCATCCATGCATCAACGAGATCATAAATGCTAGTTCCGTAAAATTTTCGTGTAGTTTTAACGCGTCTAAAAACGACTAATATAAGTAATCTGTAAATATTTTAAGTTTGTGTGTTATTTTCCACCGAATTGCAAAAAAAAAAAAAAAAAAAGTTAACATCGTAATATAGTAAACATTTTCAAAATCTAATAAACTGTGAGCAATCCATGAATAGTTTATTATTATTAAATAATATTAATATATTTTAACGATTTTCTATTTTTATTTAAGGTCGATTTTACTATACGTTTTATCATTTTCATCATTATTGCAGTAATTGTCAATTTTTTTTTTTTTTTTGACACTTTAACGCGGATGATAACGTATAGGTACCTACCGAATATCGTTTATTTTGACCGTAATATTGTATTTTATTATTCAAAGGTTGCCGCGAAAAAGATTTACATGACTTACCCCCACGAGTCACGGCACGCGATAGTGAAAATATGAACTGTACCTGTATATAAAATATATTATTATGCGCGCGTTAAAGACTTTTTATATTCAACGGATGTACCTGTTTGTAAATTTAAAATAAATCTGTCGACGTGTCACACGTGTGTGCAGAATTGATTTTTATACGCGAGTACACTATTATTATTATAATATTATAATTTATAGTCATCGAATAAATAAACTTGTGCCCAAATTCACAGTTTAATAATAATAAAAATAAAATAAATCCGATCGTGTAAATCAGGAAATAACAAAGAGAGAAAATAATAAAATAACACAGCAACAGAGTTTCGTCACTACAGGATCGAATTAAATCACCCCCTCCACATATTTCGTATTATAGATGTACATTATTTGTAAAACAACGAATAACCGAATACTAAAATAATTATATTCTAATTAATACTATTATACTACAATAATCATACTATTTCCCAAAAAAAAAAACAATACATTCGTCGTTACGCTCAGAATCTCAAAAATGATAATAATATATATTGCAATACATAACGGAGATAAAAATTAACGATGAATGCAAATTCGTTTTGTATTCCCCAATACCCGTCATAAAAAAAAAAAAAACTGTTCGTGAGAATAATGAAAAACAGACGTATTAAATTATTTCAAACGAAATAAAAATTTTAATTTAACTATTTAATAGTTACTATGAAACGTATAAAATATAATTCGATATTGTTTATTCGACCCTTTTTGTACCTTTAAATAAACCCCTTATTTGTATGCATCCTCGTGATGAGTTATTTTTTAACGTTGTTTAGTTCTTTTACACGATAATACATCAGTCATCATTGCAGTACGTACAACAATTAATATAACTATTTATTTAGATCGCATCACTCTAATCATCTGCGTATTATTAATATCGAAGTACAGTCTTTCAAATTTAATATTACGGTCTAATATTGTCCAAAAAATAATTTCAAAATATGATTTATGTTAAAATTGTTTGGAATTATTTATCCTAAAACGTTGCATTGTCATGGTTTGTTGTTGACCTTATATTTGTGGGTGAAACCTTTACTAATTTTTTTAAATTACCACCTATACGATAAAAGTACCATAAATAAATTAAGTTTCAGTTTAAATACATTTCGGTGTACATGCATTTTAAGTTTAGGTTTCTATTTAAAAAATCGAAAATCGGCAGCATAAGGTCACCCCCCGAGATTAAGGATGACGATAAAAATAATAACTATTTAATATTTTCGAAAACAAGATTGGAAAAATAACCTCTCGAAATGACGTGTACCATCTGTGTCGAATTATTTATACGTTATATAAATACATATATATTTATGTAATAAATACAATGTTGCAGCCGAATGAAACTTTGTGTGAATATGATTTTATCCCGCGCGCGTGAAATAAATTCTAGGCGAGTGTTAGAGTCATAAACCCCCCCCCCAAAAAAAAGCACACAGAAACGTACATTATAATATAGCTTTTCTTTTCATTTAGATTTTAAAAAAAAATTTTATTACAAATTTTAAATTTTACGTTATTCATGTAAAAAAAGTTTATACCTATACAACTCACGGTAATATTCAACACACAATTACATTATTACTGACTCTCCTGTTTGGCGGATGATGATAATAATAATAATAATAATAATAATAATATGTAAGGATACTGTATAAAAAGAAAAAAATTCACTATTTCAAAACTCTACAGTATCTAGCGCCCATCTGTTTTCATCGGGTGTTTTTTTCGTATAATAAACTCGGATCGTAATTCGGGCCTGTTTTAATATTGCAGTTATGTGGAGCAAGTAAACAACTCCCCCTTCCCTCTCTTTACTCTGGACTACTTTTAAACTGTTATTATTATTTTTTTACTCTTTTATATACTTTATATACAATAATAATGTTTTGAGTAGGTATTATCTCGGAGCCGAAACCCTTAGTAATTTTTTTTTTGTTTGTCTCTTAAAAATGTCCCATTTATATAATATTATAACGTTTATATTTTTTATATTGTTCGTATATCAATTACGGCGCCCGGGAGCCTTTACCAATTTTCCGGATATTTTATTTGTGTGATTTTTAATGTTACCACTGCTCGAGTTCAAAATGATAATAAATAACAATTTCAAATATTAAATTTAAAAATATATATATATATACTTAGTACATTGGTTTTCAGTCACTTTGCAGGAAGACAGGTAACGCTACGCCTACGAAATTTCCAACGGCGACTTGAGACAAATTTCAAAAGTATACATTCGTATTATAGGCTCAAACAATTATTGGGAAAAACAAACTCCTACCGAATCAGGTTATCTTTTGCACGGGCATGGTGTAAAATTTCATAATATATGCTTGTGTTAACTCCTACAAACGATTTTATTAAATAAAAGGAGGTTTTTTTAAAAAAAAAAACCAAACAATTATAAAACCGTATTAATTTATTAATTTCAATAAATTTGAGTTCATAAATGCATAATGTCCAATAGTCAATTTAAAATAATAATTAATAATAGTGTATGATAATATATAGTTATAGTGTTAAGAATAAAAATGTCTGCGTACTGCGTAGGAGATTACACTATTTTTTTGGGACAGGTAAAAAAAACACGTATAGGAGATTATACACTGTATAAAATACAGTTAGAAATAATTATTCGTGTGAGAATATATAACTAGGGTCCAAGAAGTAGGTTCTATTGTGGGTGGAATAAACTTCTTCGGAAAATCAAACATGGTACTCACAATATAGGAACGTTTTCTTTTTTTTTTTTATCAAATATTTGCTCTTAGATTCAAAATCAAAATTTTATTTGTGAAAACTCCACTGAGTCGGGTGAATTTTATTAAATTTGTATTATATTAGTGAATTTTTTACGAGCTCATGTCAAGAAATTATTATTTAAAATATTCATACACATTATGTATGATTACATGAATTATGTATAATTACCTCGAACGTTTTAGATTTTCCGCGGTTCAAAATACGATTTCTCCTAGTTTACACACATATAGCCCATGGGTATATATAATTATATAATATTAAATCGTATACACAGTTTCAAAAGGGTGAGTCTCAAATTTCAAAATCCATTTGTACAGGTAATATAATATTATCATGTTTCTCGGTATAATATTATTTCATTATTAAAATAATCTGATTCACGTACATTAGGGAATATATTATACTCAAAAAAATATATAATTACGGAAATTTGATGAATTAAAATATATTATTCATTACACTAATCTAACATAAAAACCGATACAACTTATGGGTGTACCACTGTTGTCGGTGGGAAGTTGGGAAGGTATGTTAATTTATCTTGAAGAAATATTGAATTTATATCTGTACACTACCATAAATCATTGCTGTTGAAATAAAATTCTGAGCGAATATTAGTTAAAAATATGTTTTGAAATGCATAGTATTTACGAATTTCGTAAAAATTTGAACATTAGTATTTATAAAAATAAACTTTTACATTTTAAACCATTGTTTACTGTGATATACAACTGCTTTAGTACATTTTTTATTGATATTTTAAATTATTATGTCCGAAAAATTTATATTTAAAAATACCATTATCATTTTTGGTTTTTGCAATTTATTTGCTTTTGCCCGAAGTCTATAACAAGTAAAAACATAATATTTCCATTTGTCATAATAGTTTCTATAATAATAATTTTGATGGCCTAATGAAAATGGTATTTTTCACGTAAAGTAGATGTAAAAAAGTAAATGTAACAGGTATATTGATGGTTAAACTGAAAATGTACAATAAAGAGAAGTTTTAATTTTGTTGATAATACAGAAAGCATATAAAAAATTATTTCATAGTTACTAACAATTTATAAAACTTTCAAATTTTGTTTATAATTGTCCAGGTCGACTTTATATATTATTTCAGCCAAGCTACACGGAAAATCTTCATCTATTGATTAGAAATGTTCTTTTTGTAATCATATTTTCAATTCTTGTAGTTTAATTATAATTTGAATACAAGAAGGAAATTGTACTATTTATCCATGACTATTATATGTAACAACCCCTCTCATTGAAAATTTCTAATCATACCACTGCTAATATCTATTAGCAACTCTAAACTACTACTATATATTTATTACACATGATATCGTTGATATAATATGCTAGACACAGTCGTTCAGAATGTTCGGGTATAATAATAAGTAAACAAAAAGATACGGTGTTAATTCATAGCACATTTTAGACGTCTATATGTCGTTTCAAATGGATTTCACTCATCAAATGTTCGATTTCCACTAAGTTTTACTAATGAATCAAAATATAACAACATGCAAACGTCACAAAAATAATCCCTACACTCGTTTTTTCGCACGTATGGAAATTTTAAATACCCACCTATCTAGGATAGGTGTGAAAAGCAAGAGCCCAAACTCGAGCGATATATATTCTTTCCGGGTCATCAGTGAGTTTGGTAACAAGTTTACTCCGGTGAAATGACGCCGTCACTGTTGAAAACTAAAAGCTATATATTATTGATCCGAGTTAGGATGTAGGCTCCCATAATATTTTCCGTATACATTTCTCTTTTTACTCTATAATCATCGCAGGTCGGCGATTTCGTTTACTAGGTGTTCTTTTTGAATGTATAATACGCGAAAATTATATTATACAATACACACCCAAAGCTCTAACGGTTTGTGAACACGTTACGGGTTTTTTTTTTTTTGGAAAAATGATAATGTGGAAATATTTCTTTTCGCTAGGTATCCGTTATGTATTTTTTTTTTTTGTGAAATTTTATGTTCACCGTATGGTACCTAAAGTGTAGGTACAAAAAAGTAATAAATTATCGAGTTTTGCTCGAGGTGGGAGGGGTGTGGCGGGAACAAATAGCAAAATGGCAGTAAAGAGGTCGACAAATATTATTAATAATGTACACAATTTAATAATAATATTCAGGAACCCGTGGAATTTTTTTTTTCAGCAACACGCGTTTTACAAAATACACTACGCATCATTATTCAACGTTCCCGGCCGTAGTAAACTTATTTGAAAAATAATTAGTTTTTAAATAACGTTATATTTTTTCTATGTTTTTTCAAAATATTAAATTATAATATATTATTTGCTTCTAAAAACTTTTCATATTAAAATTGCACCGCACAATATTTATCTACGGGAAAAATCCAGTTTTCCCGTGATATTTACGACTTATCGCTGTCGCGTTGTTCGGCATCGGTATGTTGCATCTGACAATAATTTTATCGGTCGATAGACACACCAATAATATTTTCACACTAATGGATTTTCGATACTCTTCCCCTAATCTTAATTCTCTTTCTTACCTCACTGGTAAAGAAAAATGCTTGAAAATGTAACATGTGCGGAGTTTGGCTCTATATAATATGACTACGGACAATCGCTACCAAAAGGGCTTTTGATATAATGTGTGCTGTTATCGAAAAATTCATCAAATAGATAGAAAGACTAAAATCAAATAAAGCCCGATTGACACACTTGCACGGATCAGCACGACACGGCAAAACATTCTAGCAAAGAATGTTTTGTCGGTCTGTCAGTGTCTGTCGGAATCAATTCAATTGAATCAGATATAATTTTATATGTATCTACAGGGTTTTTTTTTTTTATTGAGTATGCTTATTGCTCATTGGTCACTCCATTTTTGTCGTTAAATTTTGCATATTTCATTCAAATATCGATTTTTGGAATTTTTAGTTTAGTTAAAGCTTTTTCGCAATATTTAAGGAGTGTCCTGTAGTGATACAAACTTAAGAATTAAGTATTCAAAGATCTTTAGCATAGTGTAAAAGTCAGAAAAGACAAAATGATTGAGTATTTTCAACGATAGCTTAATGGAATAACGAAAGTAACGTATAAGGACAGAGTATATTAAATAAATCACGATTAACGTGAATAAGGATAATTGCAAGGAGTTAAAGGAATTGAATTACGAAAGGGCTCCCGATCAAACATATGAAGACGAGAAGAATCTAATTCTCGCGGAAAACCGACAAATATATTTTGATTATACGACTTTACGGACGTACATATCGCATGGCTGCGAATCGTTTTTCGAACGTATCTAATGGTTTGTGAAGGGGTTTCCGTTCAATGATAATTATTATGAATTATACTCGTAAACTATACTCTGGCGACCGGCCAAATTACGACGATACCCAACCGAAATCTGAAATCCGTTTTTTTTTTCTTTCACTTTTCGTTTGCCGTGTAATGATTTATTATACGATTTATATAGGGCTGTAAACGAGCTGTGTCTTCTCGATAATAAGGAATTGATTTTTCGGCCACGGGTTACACGACGAGCATAGTCTGGCATACACTTTCCGTTTTTTTTAAAGTTGTATAATATTCCAAACATATTGTTTTTAAATTGTATTTTTAAAGAAATATTTAGTTTTTATTATTAACCATTAGCTGTTATTTCGGCTGTAAGACTTTGCTCATATCGAGAAAAGAACAAGCGGGTTTCTATTATAACATTTTTATTTTTTTTTAATCAAGTTTTTGTGTCTATAAGTAGTTCGTATTTTGAAATGTCTTGTACAATATTAATGAACAAATGACAACAATAAATACGTCGGTATAAAATACGATAGTTTTATGATGAAATTCAAGGTTCACAGAGATTTAAAATTGTTAACATTTCTATAAACGGTTCCGAATCATAAACATAACCCATTATCATATTTTATATTTGGTCGTATTTAAAGTTGATAATGCTTAGTATAATCATATAACTTAACATATGTCTTCAGCAAAATACAAATATTTGAACATATTTCTTTTACTATTACGGATATTAAAACGATTATGTTTCTTATGTATAGATTTATCTTTCTTAAATTACTAATAGTGGAATTCACAATTTTTGTGATTGTGGTTCCGAAAATTTCGGTTGCCCGATATAAGAATCTACCAATCGTCTTCCGCCCTGGTTCCACCAATGGACTCAACTCAAGCATAATAACTTAAAAATCCTAGCTATATCTATATTAGGATTATTATAATAATACTGTTACACGGTCGCAGTTTCCAATCTGAATAATAATTTATGACGTTTTTTGTTATCGCAACGTGATCAAAGCCCGTGGATATTACAATAGGGTCTAGTGGATTTTCCGGTTCCCGGTACATACATAATGTGGTCAAGCGGAAGGAGACCGGGATGCGTATTAACGTTCCCTACTTTTGAAACGAGTGGCGGAAACAAAATCATCTGATTTGGTCAGTTGTGGCATAGTTGTTCGTTTTAAGTAAGTTGCAGCTATACCGCATCATATCACTCGACAGATACGTTCTGACGGATGTAAATTAATATTTTCGGGTGATAATCTGACGACCATAGACTTAATTCTTTGTGTTTTTTTTTTTTCATCGTCTCTTCCTCCCAAATTTCGCTTTATCTAAGTTCGTCGTGGTTTTTCATAGATTATACGTTTTAACATTCGTGTTTCTGTTATCATTGAAATAATATTATCGTAGTGCAATACATTTATTATAACGGATCAAAAAGCCAATCAGAGGATCGCATTTGCATCTATATGACTCGTTTCACGTACGGGACGTTAATAATATTCGCTTTTGACCGGGGCTTTGTCGATTCGGTATATTATTATTATAGTATAGCGAGTTGGTTTATATTATTAGTTAATAGTCATTACAAAGTTACCGGAGTATATAAAATATAATGTACTACAATGTGTAAATATATATCTAATAGTCGGGCTTGTGGTCCCCGAGATCAAAAATACTGTCCGGTAATCCGATACGAGGACCGTGAAATTCGGATGCGTCCGGTCTAGACGTTAGTGTAAACTGATATAATATAGTTGGTTCATTATAGTTAGAAAATTCGCTTTAACCGCGAAAAATACGTAGCGTAATATTGGAGTTTTATAGTAGAATATTGATCTATGTAGTCAGAGTAAATAATAAGTTATTAGAATTATTATACGAATGTGTACATATATAAATAAAAATTTTTTTTTTGATACTTTTCCATATACTTAATATTGTAATTTTCTAAATTAAGAGGTGACAATTTGAGGAGTGGGAAATGTCTAGAAAACAGGAAAAATATATTCTGTATTGTAATTAGGTAAAAATAATAATCGTAGATAAATTAAATAGGTACTTTATTCTTACGTTAGCATTTGAAAAGTGGAAGTGAATTATATAACGATCGACATGAAAATTGTTTTAAATTTGTATACGAGTTAATAATTATATACAAATATACATAATTGACCAAAATTTAGTACACAAAGTTCCGTTTCAGTATCTGAGCGCAGTAAGGAATGTATAGGCTTTGCTTTGATGTATGTATATTTTTTTCCTGTTTGTAAACAATTTTTCTACCAGAAATCTTGCTTCAAGATTCGGGTGCATAATATTTATCAAGAGAAAATTTTGTTTTGCTTTAATGCATTGAGTAGCCGTTTTTTGATTTTCCTTGCAGTTGCCTTAATAATTGGGAAAGACGTAGAAAAAACCGGGAAGTTCATTTTTTTCGATTTTGTATTTTTCGATTCTGAGTGAAGCTAGTTTTTCGTTAGCAATGATTAATCATAGCATACAAAAATACCTAAATATCCTTCATTTTCAACTTCTCACAATTTTGGTCCACCCTTCGTGTGAAGTATGTACGCCTTTTTTTTCATACTCGTTTCAATTTCAAATTAAATGGAAATCGTCAAAATCACAAATCTTCGCGTTTATTTTATGATTTAAGTAAATATAATTTTAGGGCCAAGATAAAATATTTGAAAATTTAAAACGAAATCCGTCATATCTTATAAGTTGCATTTGGTGGAAAAAAGAACTAAGCGTAATGCAGAAATTTTTTTATAAGCCTTTGTAAGATACAATTTTGATGAAAATTCATGGCATTTTAAAACGTGTTTAACCCAAATTTAAGTGAAAACGCGTATTTTGTTAGCAACGGTTTTTTTTTATTGTTCGTTTGCAAGGCGATTATCGTTTGAGATCGAAACTGTTTTCAGGCGGAATAATTTTGCAAACTGTAGGACTATCGTTTGCGGGCCTCTCTATAAATAATTAAACATATTATAATAATATTATATAAAGCGTATATTATCATGAATTTTGGTGGCGGTGACAGCTGTGCGGACTTTTAGCTATAAAGCCCGGGAGAAAGAGTGAGAGAGAGAGTGGACGAGATAAAGCGGAACAAGTTAAATGTGGTTTAACGACAGACTTGTGTGTATATATATGTTATATTATATGCGTATTATGTTATATTCGAGGCGAATATTATTATTTATATATTATAAATATCGTCTGCTGAGACTAATGACTGCGGTTATCGTTATTTCCGGCCAACCGTCGGGCGAAATCTGTCCGGGATTGATAGTAATTTCACATCGATTTCGTCGCCAAGTCACGATCGGTGGCGACGACATCAGATCGACCCGAATTTTGCTCGTAAAAAAAAAAAAAAAAAAATGTTACATACGACTACGTCTTTCTCACTCAAATACCCACCACCGCCAAATTTATTTCATATTATAAATGTGTCGAATATTTCCGTCACACCAACCACCGGCTTAATTTTCGTTTTTAACAATATGATTACATAATATGATGTACTTAATATTAAATTGGATAGTATTCCTGTAAAATACACCAGAATCTATAAACAGTGTATTAAATTTATTTTTTGTTACGCTAAAAATATTTAATAGACATTTTGAGAGAAAAATTTCCGGGAAAAAAACTGGGATTTCCGGAAATATCTAAAAAGTAAAAGTTAAATTCCTTAAGAATTTCTTTTTAGAAAAATAAAACCACTGGGAAATCTTTCTTTTTTTTAATTTTTAATTTGTTGATAAATTTTAGCGATTGTAATTAACTTTAGATTACAAAACTTACCTTTAAAAGTATTAAAACTTATAATATTGATGGAAATTATAACTAAAAAAAAGATCAGATATAAGGGATGGGAGCGGCCACTGTTGTAAGTGAGAAGTTGGAAAAGTAGGATACATAAGTTTATTTCATTTATATTTGTTAGCAATAATAAACTATTGCTTAACGAAAGAAGATTCCGAGCGCAGTTCGGTAATACATAATTTTAAGTGCCGTAATTTTTTTTGCGATTTTCGTTTAAATTTGATTTCAAAACGCTTATTCAATAAAAATGTCATCCGATGATTTTGGAAATTTTATCACGTCTAGGTAATTCCGATATAAGTATTATTACTAAGTTTCAAGACTCTACGAGTATTTATAACCAAATTACAGCAAAAAAAAAAAAAAACCTCCTAATAATTAAAATTCCTTAAAAGCTCAAAATTGTTGGCAATAATTCCGTAATAAAGTAAATCAAAAGGGTAACAAAAAAAAGTGTCTTTGATTAAATCATTTTTCTGGTAGAAAACATCGTCCGTGCTTTTATAAAATAATATAATCGTGAAATTGTATGTTTCCCTATGTTTTTTCCATTTAAGTGTTTTTATTTAAAAATGATACTGAAAATCAAAAAATGTCATCTTTAAAATACTTTCTAGACAATTTGCCATTCCAGAAAAGTTCCTACGCGTAAACATCGAAACAAGTTAATTAGTGATTAAATATAAAAATTAAATTAAAGAATACATAGAAAAAAATTATACCAGTTGGTCGTTTTTCATAGAAATAATTTACAAGTAAAAATTATAATAAATTGAATTAGTTTTTCAATTTCTTTAATTTTTCTGATACTCTAGGAAGAAAACTCTTTTAAAAACAATGTCGAGAAAAAAAGACAGACATACTTTGCACAATGGGAGAGTTACTGTTGTAGGTCAGAAGTTGGGAGGGTATAGAAGGAAAATTGAATGTTTATATAATATGTACGCAACGATTGTTAATGAAAAAACGATTCCAAGCAGAGTTCAGTTATACATGTTTTTAAATACCGTAAAATGTATGATTTGTAGATAATACGTTTCGTAAATTTTTCGGTTTTTCCTATTATTATGAAAACCCCTGTGAAACCAAAAAAAATTATTTATGAGAAAAATGCTACACTTGGAAATTGGAACAAAATTTCTAGGAGAAAAATTGTTCACGATTAAAAAAAAACCATTACTGTAAAATTAATACATTTCCAACTCCAGTCAGAATCTAGAACTAAGCAAATGCTCCAAGTCGTGAACACTAGATCGCAAGAGTACGAGACTATGGAAAATAACAATTATGTATTTAAAGCGAAAATAATAAAAAAAATTAAAATAATATTTATTTTACGAGACTCTCTTATATTTATTGTGTATTTGTTTATTTGCAGCCGGACGTCCTGGTTATAATTTTTCGCACACAGAAACAACTAAACAAATACTAGAAGATTGCTGCTTGAAGATTTCAGCTGAAGAAAAAAAAACTTTGCGGAGATCTGCAGGTAAGTCAATTTTGTTTACCACTTGTCTTAAATATTTTATAATATTTTTACGGCACGCTTACAAAATTATATTCGTTGGCCCCTTAATAAAATAATAATATTGTATGACGGTTCAAGATAATGATACGACCCATTTTGGTCCTTTGATAAAAGAATAATAATATTAAATATTTAAATTTTTTCCACGGCAAAATAAACCCACGCCTTCAAATACCCACCTACGCGTCGGTCTCTAATAGTAATATGCTGTTGTTGTTTATTTTGAAATATTAAAAAGAGCTGATATTGCTTGTGGATGTGCCACTGCTATAGGTGGGAAGTTGGGAAGGTAGAATATATACAGTTGCGTAGCGAGATGGAAAAAGCCCGGGGAAATTATGAACTAGGCCTTCTAACTAATATAATCTTTATAAAAATTCGAAATATGCGTACACTAATACACGATACACTGTTCTTTCAAGTGTTACTTACTATGATACTAGAAATGGAAATAATTAACGGATAATGAATATACAAAGTAAAAAGGAAATCCAGTTTATTATACTATACAAATTATAATTTATTATCATCAGTAACGTGACTGATGAGTGATGACCGATGATGTATTGATACGAAAATATTCGTGTTTGATAATATTTGAATTTACATCATAATAATATCGCCAATAATGGCAATAGACTATTTTACAATTTATTATGTTTACGGAGATAGTTATTTCGGACGTCTTTAATGGTGATCGTGGTACTTAGAGATGGAAAACACCATTTGTTTCATATTTTTGTATGTATTATTATTCTATTTTAATACCGATTGTGATTGGAATTACCAAGTACGATTTAGAATACTAACTATAATATAAATCAAAATGTGTAATTATTCAAAACAGTAATTTTTGAATTGTCCAAGGACCCTGAGACATAAATCATTGCTAACGAAATATGATTCATTTTACGATAACATTTTCATTATATTTTTTATCGAAATTTGAACTTAAACCGTTTTTGAAAAAACAACATTAGGTTGTATGCTCAACAGTGTTCAATTATGTAAACTATCTCTTATCTTAGGAAAATGTCGTTTTTGACGGAATAATTGGAATATTATCACAATCTTTCTGTCATGTTTGGAAAGTTTTGTAATTGATGATATTATCTCTGAGGAGGTAGATGGTTTTATTTTTAAGGCATATTGAGATAAGGATGCTTTATTTGCGTTCATGTCCGATTTTAATATGCCCGATGTGGGAGGGAGCCATATAGTAGTTGATGACAATTATTGAATGTGTTGAACTAATTCGTTTTTAGAATAGGGATTTGTAATTGATATTATGGCACTCGATAAGCGTCTTAAAATTTCAGTACACATCAGTATATTCCGGTTTACGGTCGAATGGTATCAACCGGCCAATTAATTGTTAAATCAGACTGGGGCAAATACTAACCTTAACCATTCCTTTTAAAATTACGCCTCTGTTAAGTTCTGAACGGGATTCAATAATAATTATTTTACATTTAACTTATAATTATAATTATAAATCGAATATTGATTAGTATGAGATATATAAACAATACATACTATTTCTAATTTTACAATTAGTATTTTAGTATGTTAAAGCGTATTCCAAGTTCTGACGATGTTTTTTTTTTTTTTTAGGTCGGGAGATATTTGCTATTTCGACAAATACGATGTTTAAATGTAATTACATAATTTACGAGTATTATAAATTATATCCAACAAAAACTGTATTTTTGTAATATAATTCGATTATATTTTTCTTGTCCTTTCGTTTTGCTAATAAATTTAATGATAATAATTATAATAATATGGTGTATACTTGTACGAATACAATAAACGGTACTGTCGGAAAATTATCTGAAATTGCAGTATAATCTAATTGCAATATTATTACTCGATGCATATAATTATATAGGTAGGTATAGATATAGTGTTTTGTGTTGGTGTTGATTTCTGTTTTGTCACACAGTCCATTTTGTTGTATTACAATAATAATGTATTAGGTGATTATTGTATTGAAATGTATAGGTATGCAGTGTAATGGCTAGTGGGCGTCGTGTACTTTTCACCCGTACGTTTTCTGCTCTTTACATTTTTCGTGTTTTTTTCGCTCGTTATCGTAAACTTTAAGTGCTGAAATAACATAATAAGGTGGGTTGATAAATATAATAATAAATAATACATTCATTATATTACCGATCAAATGTTCACTGTTAGTAGTGTTTTAAAATTTGTTACGTTACGTTCAAATTTTCTATAATGAACCAACGAATTATCATTTTCCGAACGTCTCAGGGTAATAAGGCACGTCACTTGTATAATAAATATGAATGTAGATTACATAGAAAAACAGAAACAATAACAAATTGGCGTTGTCTTTGTGATGAAATAGTATATTATAAATTAAATACACATTCGTTTATAATTTTTAATTTTTAGCGCTTGATAATCCGCCTAAAATTATTTTAGTACGTACATATTACTAGTGGAAATAGCATGAAAAAGGTGAACAGCAGAAAACGTACAAACGGAAAGTGAGCGCTGCTATCAGCCAGTGGCATACCCAGAGATTTTCAATGGAAGTGTGCAGCAAATAACAATGGTGAATAAATCGTAGAATCTTCATTTAGCCAACAAATCCGGATCCAAAAAAGAATAGGTTTAATCAATAAATACATTTCTTCTTCTTAGTTTAAATTTGTAAACACTCTATTCTCCTAATAAATTAGGTTTTTCCGTGCGACTTGACTAAAACGTATTCATTTCAACATTAAATTACAAAATAAAAACTCGATGTATAGGAAATTAAAATAATACTACAATTTGAAATTGAAATAATTCAAATTAGGTATACGATTTACCTATACGGTTATTTTAGACTCCGAGCGTAGCGAGAGAGATATTGGTTTTACAATGCTGTGTATTTATTTATTTTTCTTTGTTCTTTGTTCTAGTCTATGGACACGTTTTTTCCTATAAACTTGCTCCGATTTTTACGTGTAGCAACTTTTCTGAAAGTTCAATTTGTCTAGATGGTATTTTAAAGAAAACATTTTTTGATTTCTGATGCCATTTTTTAAATAAAAACACTAAAGTAGAAAAAAAAACGTAGAAAAAAGTACAATTTCACGATTTCATTATTTTATAAAAACACGGACGACGGTTTCTAACAAAAAAAAAAAAACATGATTTAATCGAAAAATCACAAGTTACCTTTTTTATTCCCTTTTTGATTTACTTTCTTACGGTATCATTGCCAAAACTTTTGAGCTTTTAAGGAATTTTAATTTTTGGGAGTTTTTTACTATAACTCGATTATAAATACGCTTAGAGACTTGAAACTTATTAATAATACTTAAATTGGACTTACCTAGAATTTACGTATTATCGGACAACTTTTTTCCTTTTTTAATTTTTTTTACCATGGTATTTTTTGGTACTATTTTTTTTATCATACCGTAGACCACTTCTATCCTAGAAAACTTGCTCTGATGTATAAATGTAGCACCATTTCTGAAATTCAATTTTATCTGCTTAGTACATTGGTTATTATTTGATTTTCGATACAGTCTTTAAAATAAAAATGATTAAGCGGATTTTTTTACGATTTCGTTATTTTAAAAAAGTACCTACCATGTTTCTAGCACAAATATAACTTCAATTGAAAAAAGATGAAAGACCTTTTTTTTTGAATTATTAATCTTGTTTTTAAAGATGCAGGTGGTTTTTTTTTTATTGATTTTCGAATTACTTTCCGTAATAATCAGGGAAAATGTAGGAAGATTAGATTAAAAAAAAATGTATACGAAAATCGCAAAAAAATTACGGCAATTCAAATTATGTATTACCGAACTGCGCTCGGAATCGTTTTTCGTCAATCAATGATTTATCGTCACTTACAGATAAAAATGTAATAACCTTATATATCCTTTCATCACAACTTCTAACCTATAACACTGGCCACTCCCCTCCCCAGTATCAGCTCTTTTTAATCTTATTTTTTTTTAATTTGATTTTTATATAAAATTTAATGCCTGGTTAAAATATGTTATACGCATATAATATTATGTTAATTTATTTTATTAGAATTTTTTTTTTTGGATTTGATAGAAATTGTTCTGTTAATATGATTATTGTTTATCACCAGTATACAACGCTGATATCACTGATTAGTGTATATTTATTATAGAACATAAAACTGTTCACAATTGACATTTTTTTTCAAAATAGAGTTTACACGATATTTGATATAATTTCTTTTTCTTTAGTATTATAGCAAAACGTTACATTTTAGATTCTTAGCGAGTGAGGAATATGTTGGTTTGACAATAATGTTTATTATATACTGTACTTTGGGTCACAACTATATTTTTACTGTGAAAAATTTTTGACCAGAAATCTTGATCCGACGAAATACGAAATTTATTATTTTCAAATCGTAAATATTATGATTTTTCAAAAGTGTACAACCGAACTCCGCTCAGAATCGCTTTTCGTTAGCAACGATTAATCTTTGCGTAAAAATTAACATTCAATTTCTCCTCTATTTTCTCATTTTCTTACCTTCAACAGCCGCTCACCCATCATGAAGTATGTCTGTTGGTTTATTTTTTATTCTGAGTCTCTCACCCATCGATAAATTGTTTTTAAAAATATTGAAATGATATTGAAAATGTTGTTATTGAATCTGTTAAAAAGAAAAAAAACCCTGAACGCTTTAAAGCATTACGACTGCATTATAGTACCTATAGTTTTCAAACTTGAAAAGAAATAAAACCTTGTATAATACTGTAGAGTATTATACGTATTTTTCGTCCCGGGGAATAAGGGTTTAAGTCAATTATGGGGATTTTCTTTTTTTTATTGAGCCTCGTGTAATCTTTCCCTTTATTATAAACGTCATAAGTGTATGTGCGTATACCTACTCCAACATTTATCGAATTA